TTTTATGTTTCTTTTTTATTTAAGTGAGGTTATATAAAATGATAACTTAGCTTTTTTCTATTAATTATATGTCTCAGTGATCTTTTTTACTTATTTATTTTTTGGTTGGTAGCAGGGCTTGAACTCAAAGCCTTGTGCTTGCTGAGCAGGGGCTCCACCACTTGAGCCACACCCACAGACCCTCAGTGACCTTTTAAGTTTACAGAAGAACATGAATTTAGTGGTACATTAACATGCTATGGTAGCCAGCCTCCAAGGTTGGTGGCAGTGATGACCGGCCAAATCTTTGCATAGTTCCTTCCCACACTGAACCAGCATTGGCCTGTGTGACCAACAGGACATGGCAGGAACGATGTTATAGGCCATGCCTAATATTAGATTACAGAAGACTCCAGCTTTCATCTTGGTCTCTTGCTCTCTCTTGGATCCGTTGCTGTGAGGATCTCAGTGTGAGCAGCCCTGTGGAGAGGCCCATGTGGGGAATGACTAAAGCCTCTGGCTAACAGCCGGTGGGAACCGAGACCTCCAGCCCATAGCCACATGAATACACCATTTGGAAGTAGGTCCTCTCGACCCAATCATGCCTTCAAAGGATGGCTGTTTTGGCTATACCCTCATGAAGGACCTCAAGTCAGAAGCACCCAGCAAGGTTGATTCCAGATCCCTTCTCCTTAGAAACTTCATGAGATTATGTTTGGTGTCTTCACAGCTGAGATGAAGGGTAATTTATTTGCAGCAATAGATAAGTAATACATGTGGTCCAAAAAGGAATATAGCCAAAGCTCTTTGTCATTCCTACATCTAAACACCCCCATCCTTTCCCATATCATTTACAGTAGGCCCTTGGGAAATGTGGCAGTCCTGGGCACAGAAGCAGAGAGCCCCCTGATCCCCCTCACAGATCACCTGGTTGAGGAGAGGCTGCAGCAGTGAGCCATACCCTTTCAGCAGCTGTCAAAGCATGCCTTTCTTCCCCACGGATGCCACCTTTCCCTCTAGGGCTCTGACCACCTCCGAGCATCCCCACATCCTGTCTCACGACTGGGGGTGGGGACTTTCCCTCTTCAAACACTGGTGGAAAACATCACCTGGTCTCTTTCTTCCACTCATAGAAATTAGAGACCAATACTCAGCCCAATATCTGACCCCAGCTGCCGTCTCACTGGCCTCTCATGCCACTGGCCTCCTCCTACCCCAGGCTTGCATCCTTCACTTCAGACTTCCCAGAGTGCTAGACAGCTTTTCATCACTGTCACAAATACCTGAGATAAACCAACTTCTAAAGAGAAAAGGTTTATTTTGGCTCACAGTTTGGAGGTCCAGTTCATAATTGTCTAGCTCCAATGCTTTCAGGCCTGTGGTGAGGCAGTACATCGTGGCAGGAAAGCATGGTGGAGCAAAACAGCTCACCTCATGGCCAGCAAGTGAAAAAGAGAAAGAAGAAAATCGGTCCCTTACTCCTTCCACCATGTGAGGACACAATGAGCAGGGGCCATGTATGAGTTAGAGAGCAAGACTTCACCAGACACTGAATCTGCAGGCCTTCCTAGATCTTGGCCTTTACAGCCTCTAGAACTGTTAAGAAATGAATTTCTGGGGCCAGACCTGGAGGAACACACCTGTATCCTGGCACTCAGGAGGCAAGAGGATCAAAGATCATGAGGTCAGCTTGGGCTAAGGGTTTCAAAAGACAGAGTCAGAGGGAGGGAGGGAAGAAGGAAAGGAGAGGGAGGGAGGAGGCCCAGTGTAGTGGCTTACATCGGTAAACCCAGGTACTCAGGAGGTGGAGATTGGAAGGATCACAGTTCAAGGCCAGCTCAGGCAAAAGTTAGCGAAACCCTCCTCTCAACCAATAAGATGGGGATGGGTGTTGTGGGCATGCCTGTTGTCTCAGCTACGTGGGATGCATAAATAAGGAGGATCGTGGTCCAGATGGCCCTGGACAAAAAAAAGAAACCCTATTTGGAAAATACCAAAGCAAAAGAGGCTGGTGAAGTGGCTCAGGTGGCAGAGTGCCTACCTATCAAGCAAGAGGCTCTGGGTTCAAACCCCAGTTCTGCCAAAAGAAAAAGAAAAAAAGAAAAATTCCTGTTGTTTGTGAAGCACCAAGTCTATGGTACTTCATTCTAACAACCCAAATAGCCTAAGACACTGCTTTATTTATAACTCTCTCAAATTGAAACAACCCTTTCAATGGGTAAATCAAAAACAAACTGTAGTATATCCATACAGTGGGGCACAGGTCCACAATAAGAGTGAAGTATTAATACCTGAAATAAGTTAGATGACTCTCAGAGGCATAATCCTTAGTGAAAAAAGCCAGCTTCAAATGGTTCCATAGTATATGATTTCATTTCTATGACATTCTCTAAAAGTCAAAACTCTTGTGAAGGATTCTTGGTCAGGTTAGGTGGGAGGAATGTGTCACTATAAAGGGCAATACAAGGGTTTTTTGGGGGTGACGAAACTGTCTTATATCCTGTTTGTGGTAGTGGTTACACAAATCAACGTGTCTGAAAATTCATAGAACTACACACAAAAAAAAGCAAAGAAAAAGGTCAATTTTACTATATATGCTAATTAAAACAAAAAGCTTGTGCTAACCAGCTGACGATGGTCTTTGCCTCCTCCTAGTACTTGTGCCCTTGTGTCCCCTCTTCCATAGAGTAGGGCTAGCCTGCACAATCAATAAAAATGCAGAAGAGAGCTGGGCGTGGTGGCACATGCCTGTGATCCCAGAACTGAGGCAGAAGGATCATGAGTTCTGAGGCTGGGTAATAAAAATCATTGCACTAGCAAGTTTGAGGCCTTGAATTCAAACTCCAGTCCGAAAACAACCAAACAAAACAGCCACTGCAGCTTTGTCTTGGTCTGTAGAGTCACTCATTCTAGGGAAGTCAGCCATAGTGTTGCAAGGACTCTTGAGCAAGTCCATGGACAGGAGTGGAGGCCTCCTGCCAACAGCCAGTCCCAACTTGCCAGCCATAAGGGTGGGCCGCCTTGAAAATGGAGCCACCAGCCTGCCAAACCTTCAGGTGAGTGTAGCCCTGGCCAACATCTGACTATCATGAGGAACCCTGAGCCAGAACTGCTCAGCCAAGCTACTCCTGAATTCTTGGCCCCCAGAAATTGTGCAGGGGAATGAATGATTATTGTTGTTTTAAGACACTATGTGTGTGGTCTAAGTTAGATATGCCATTTCTCTCATCCAGTGGCTTCAGATCACTGGTAAAGCCAAGGCGATGTTCATTACCATCTAGTCCCTGTTCCTTCTCCTACCTCACTTCCTGCTCCTCCCTCTCCTTTGATACTCTCTCACTTTTTTTTTTTGGTGGCACTGGGGTCTCACACTTGGTAGGCAGGCACTCTACCACTTGAACCAAGCCTCCAGCCTTCCCTTTCCTTCAAACATGCCAAGCTCTCTTCCACCTCAGTCCTCTGCCTTTTACCTGGAATGCACCTCCCCAGAAAGCCATATAGCTCATTCACTCACCTCCTTCAAGCCTCTTTTCAAATGTCACCTGGATACAGACACAGAGGCCACTCTCTTTACCATATTTCTTTCAGAGTCTTCATGGGAGCAGGGACTTAACTCATAATGGTTTAGTGGCTTAATTTGTATCCTCTCTCTCTCTCTGTTTGTTTTTGGTAAGACTGGGGTTTGTTTTGTTTTTTTGTTTTGGTGGTACTAGTGTTTGAACTCAGGGCCTCAAGTTTACAAAGCAGGCACATTACAGCTTGAGCCACACCTCCAGTCTGAGACTGGAGTTTGAATTTTGGGCTTCACGCTTGTGAGGCAGGCACTCTACACTTGAGTCACTCCACCAACCCTTTTTGTGTTGACTATTTTTGAGCTAGAATCTTGTGAACTATATACCAGGGCTGGCTTTGAACCTATATCCTCTTGAACTCTGCCTCCTGTAGATAGGATTACAGGTGTGAGCCACCAGGTCTGGCTTGTATTCTCATTTTACAGATAAGAATATCAAGTCAACTATAAACAATTCTAGACTGGATTGATAGTAAAGCTAAGCCTTGCACCAAGCCTTTGGTCTCCAAGCCTAATGCCCTTTCCAAAAGGGCATTCAGTCCAAAGCCCTGGTTTTCCAGTTGAAGAGAACACAACAGTTGGGATGACCCAGGGCCTGCCACAAACAGGCAGTTTTAAGCCTCTTCCTATTCCCTCCCTCTTACATCACAGGCCTGAGTCCTTGGCTCCCTCTAAAAGCCTAATCCTCTGGAGGCCTGGGGCAGAGTGTGTGTGTGTGTGTGTGTGTGTGTGTGTGTGTGTGTGCGCGCGCGTGCGTGTGTGTGTGTGTGTGCGCGTGTGTACAGCTGGGAGAAGATGGTCTCACCTTGAGCAAACAGAACATGAAGAAACCAGGGGAGGTTTAAAGAAAGCTTACAGGAGGGTACCTCAGAAAAGCTTAATCCCCTACCCTACCCCTTCTAAGACTTGCAAAGCATTTTCAGAGCTTAGCATACAGTCTTTCTGGCTGCTCTGTGTCAACTGATGGTTCAGAGTTGAAGAAACTGAGCTTCAGAAAGGGTATGCAAGTTCACAAAATAATAGCACACTACTATTAGGTTATCAGATACTATGGCAATATTAGTGGTTTACCTTCTCAAAGCAGTAAGGTGTTGTATCATATGCAGGTTTAACAAATTGGAACAGCCATTAAGATATATAACTTTTTTTTTTTTTGGTGGTACTGGTGTTTGAACTGAGGGCCTCATGCTTGCTGGGCAGGCACTTTACCACTTGAGCCACCCTGCCAGCCCCAATATGTACAATTTTAATGTGTCAGTTAAAAATACACTTAATTTAAAACAAACTAACAACCAAACAAATTGGGGCAGAAAGAGAATAAGTTTTTCTTAATACTTTTGGGCCTGATTCTGCTGAAGACATTGTTTCCATCTTACAGTCACAAAAATAGCAAGGTTAATGACTTGACTCCCACATTACCTAGTGGCTAAGCTGGGATTTGATCTGAAGTCTCCCAGGCTGTATACAGCCAGCATGTTGCAGCACTGGAACAGAAATCAAAGCTTTCAGATCCAAGAACAGTGTCTCCCTAGGTCACATGAAAAAACAGTGAAGGTCAGTGTAGGGGACAGGCACTAATCTGGAGAGGATGAAGCACACAGCTATGGAGGACACCGTGACCCTGTCAATCAAATCACATATGTACATGGCCTTTTTTTTTTTTTTTTTTTTCATCACGGGGGTTTGAACTCAGGGCCTCATGCTTGCTAGGCAAGAAGTGCTCTTACCTCTTGAGTCACAGAACCAGCCCTTTATTGTGATGGGTGTTTTCGAGAGAGGGTCTCACAAGCTGTTTGCCCAGGGCTGGCTTCCAACAGTGATCCTCCTGATCTCTGTCTCCTGAGTAGCTAGGATTACCAGTGCCTGGCTTTACATGGCTTTTTTTTTTTTTTTTTTTTTTTTTTGGCAATATTAGAGTTTGAACTCAGGGCCTTGTGTTTATTAAGCAGGCACTCTACCACTTGAGCCACTCTTCCAGCCCCTACATGGCTTTTTGACCTACCAATTCTACTTTCACAAACATATCCTTTGTGATGGCTAAAAATGGCAAACTTAAATGTCTCACAATAAGTTAAGTGCATTGTTTTTGGTCCATTTCATATTATGGAATATTATGTGACAGACAAAAAGAATGAACATGAGCCTGGTATGGTGATACATGCCTATAATCCCAGTACTTGGGAGGCAGAGGCAGGAGAATTGGGAGTTTGAGGCCAGCCTGAGCTATATAGTGAGATCCTGTCTGAAGAAAAACAAAACAAAACAAAAAAACCCAATATACTTCTAAGGTAAAAGAAAGCAAGAGCCAGACAGTGAGTTTTGTGTTTAAAAAAAAAAAAAAAAGACACACGTGCATGTATACTTATAAATGGCATGAAAATCTTCTGGAAGGGTTACAAGAAACTGTTAGTAGTGTTTGCCTCTGAGGTGGGGTCTGGTCATTTTTCACTCTACAAACATATTCTTTTGTATTTTTTTATTTGTTTTACCTTGTGCATGAACTTATTTTAAAGTAATTTGCAAATCCAGAGCTCAGCCTTTTGGAGTGTGGGGAGACACGCACTCATGACCAGGTTGTCCTTAGTGACCACTGAACATTCTCTGTGCACATCTTTACCCCATATGCCCTAACCCAGAGACACTGTCTAATTAACGTCTGGTCAAGGGCTTGGATGTAGCTCAGGTGGTAAAATGCTTAGCAAGTGCAAGGATCTGGGTTCAATCCCAGCATCACCAAAAAAAACAACAACAAAAAAAACCCTCAAATTTCAAACATCCTCAGTTTAAAACCTTCATCTGACTCCCCAGGGGTGAGGGTTAAACTTTGGTTTGATGTTCCAGGCCTTTCACATACTGTTCCCATCTTCCTACATCCCTCATCTCAGGCCCCCACCTCACTAGTTCCGAATCTGGGACTGCTCCTTGCTCCCCACACAGCATATCCCTCAACTCGCCTGTTCAGGCCACTTTGCATATTCATTCATTCAACCCTCACATACAGGACAATCTCATAAGCCAAGCACTGGGTTAGGTGCTCTTACACGGAGCTACATCCAGTGCGCCAGTGTGGTCCCTATTCTTTTTATGGTGGTACTTGGGTGTGAACTCAGGCCTTCACTTGCTAAGCAGGGAAGGCTACCACTTGAGCCATACCCCCAGTCCCTTTTTCCTTTGTAGTTATTTTTGGGGTAGGGTCCTGAGTTTTTACCCTGGATTGGCCTGGACCTTAATTCTCCTCATAAAGGTTTTTTTGTTTGTTTTTTGTATTACTGGGTTTTGAACTCAGTTCAGGGCTTCATGCTTGTTAGGCAAGCAGTCTGACCTATGACTTGACCCCTGTGATCCTATTTAAGCTTCCCACGTAGCTGGGATGACAGTTGTGAACCACAATCCCCAGTTATTGGTTGAGATGGGGTTTCACTAACTTTTTGCCTGGACTGGACTTGAACTATGATCCTTCCAATCTCCACTTCCCAAGTAGATGGAACTGTAAGTGTGAGCCACCGCACCTGGCCCAGGTGTGGTCCCTATTCTTCGGGGGAGCCTCTGGTCTACCTATAGAAAAAAATACGCAAACATCCTCCTCTGGAAAGTGACATGAGAGACAGCTCAGCACAAGGGTCAATGGCACTGAATCTTATGCATCTAGTGTTTGAAACCTAGCTCTGCCACTCACAGGCTGTGTGACCTTAAGCTACTTCTTTTACTTCCCTGTATCTCAGAGCCCTTTTATGTTAAACAGAGATAATAAGAAAAGAAACCTCTTAGGGTTGTTCTGTGAATCAGATGAGCTGGCTTATGTAAAATGCCTAGAGTACAATCTGCCATGTATGGTAGTAAAGCATGCACATGTGTGAAGCCTTGGGTGTGATCCCCAGCACTGCAAAAATACAAGAAGCAAAGCAAAAACCAAATGATCCATGCTAATTGTCATGATACATGTTAGTTATAACAATTTCTGCAGAACTCAGAAAGGAAAAATTTCATAGAATAAGACCTTAACACGTTAGTGAGTACTAATTAAAGCAGAGGGAAGGGGTCGACAACACGGTGGAGATGGAAGGGTAAGTAGAGTCTCTCTTGTTCAGTAACTGAGGCCTTTGCATCTTGTTCTGAGATGTCTTTAGGGGATAAAGATGAGGTCTCCCAAACTTTATCTTCATAATTCATGCGTCATCATTTACTAAGCATTTTTCTCTGAGCCAACTTACTTTTTATAATCTAAATAAATTCCTTAAAAGGAAGCTTTATTTTTTCTATTCTTTCTTATCCCCCCCATTTTTTGCAATTTGTAATGGATTTCATTATTCTATTTTCATACATATATATAATGTACATCAACCAAATTCACACCTGCCCCCCCAACTCTCTCCTTTCACCCCCACTCCTCTGGTTGGTTCCCATCCCCATTCCTCTTAAAAGGGAAATTTAAATTATATCTGTAAGTGAAAAAAAAAAAAAAACCCACAGAGGATAAAAAAATAAATATAATGAAGACAGTTAAACTTTAGCTGTCCGACTCTGAGGTGTGCTCTTGCCACAGAAGGGCAGTTACTAGCAGATGTAGAGAAGAGTTAATGACGCCCTGGCACAGAACTGAGACTTTCTCTGGCATTGTTATCTGGATTGAGAAAAAGAATTTCTTTGAGTGCTCTGGGATCCTAAGCCATCCTGGACACTACTCAAGAGGTGATCGCCCCCACTCATTCTGAGGGAGGGAATGTCAGTCAGACTGCTCAATGTGGTGCAAGTTTGTTTTGGAGGTGCATTTTCAGAGAGGGCTGGGGTGTTCTCCCTCCCACCTTGGCTGCCACCAGGTAAGCACTGCTTCTCTGCTTCTGCTGAGTCCCACTCTCGGGAAGGAGGCCCCTGGGAAAGGCCTTTGTTACCTCCTCCTGTTTACCTGGTGATACTTGGCTTCCCCTGCTGCTGATCAATACAGGATTAAACCTGCTGGCTGTTAAATCATGCTATTTCAAGAGAAAGGTCCCAACCCTGAAATAAACCAGGTTTCAAGCACGAATCTGAATTAATTCTGACAACATAATCCAGAGTGCAGGATTTGCCTTCAGGACATGGGGTTTTCTGTCAACTCTAGTAAGGACAGAAAGAGCTGGGGAGAGGAGCGGATCTTTATTTTCAGGCCAGCGAAAGCTTATTATTATTGTTTTCTATTCTCATGTACGATGCTTCTTTGAGGTGAATAATGGAAATGAGAGCTCAACTCTTTCTTCCTTCCTTGTCCTTTCTCCCTTTCCTTCTTTTTGCGCTTTCCTCCTTCCCTTCCATATTTCTGGAGGTGCTTATAATATTTCAAGAAAGTGTTTCTTGACTTTGGTTCCTAGAAAACCAGCTTCTCTATTTCTGCCCAATTCACAACCCATCTCTACTGGTAGCTACTTGATTTTAAAAATGTCTTTCCGGGTGGTAAGGGAGGGGGTGGGGGCAGGGGGGAGAAATGAACCAAGCCTTGTATGCACATATGAATAATAAAAGAAAAATGAAAAAAAAAATTAAAAAAAAATAAATAAAAATGTCTTTCCTTTGTTTACTTATGTAAATTTGGTCTCATCCTAAAATAAGGAAAGGTTTGATCATCTAGTTGCATATCTCACCCCTATGATACATAAGAAGGAACATAAATGATAGAAAATGAGCACTTAGGCACCTGCTAAAGCCACTTTGTTGAGGATACTTGGTGGCACCTATAAGGCTTTCTGGGCAAGGCTACAGAGAGCTCCCACACTGCTTGTTGGTGAATGACACAGCTATATCCCCCCACAGGCCAGTGCTGCCTCTTCAGAGTCTGACTTAGCAGGCCTGGGAGTAGGCATGTCTAACAGGTTCCCCTTGTGACCAGACACTGCTGATCTGAGGACAATCTAAACTGGCTTGGGCTACTGGGCATCAAAATCGTTTGGAGGTGCGTGTGATAGTGCAGGCACCGTGTAGCACCCACCAGTCACTCAGATTCTTTAGGTGTATGGGCATGGGGACCGCCTTGTCCAGGAGCACTGCAAGGTAGTGCTGGATACTGCTGTAGCACATAGTTGACAATATCTGCCCGAGGTCCCTGCAGGTCAGGGACAACTTCTCTGGGAAGCTCAGGCCCTAAACACAAAAGCATCTGGGCTCCTCTTTCCCTCCCTCCCCCTCAGTGTGGCAGCAAATCCTGTTGGCTTTTCCCCCAGCAAGTATTCAGACTATCTTTAAAAGACTAACAAACAGATTTGGGGGTAGAAGAGTAAATGAAACCAGAGTGGCAAAATGTTGACAACTGTTAAAACTCTGAGTCTAGTTTATTACTCACAACTTTTGTGTATATTTGAATTTTTCTATAGTAATATGTTTTATTTTTAAATCTTGGACCCAACAAATCCATTTCTGGGAATTTATCTTGCATATTTTAAATAAAGAAAAATCTTTACAAATAAAAAGTTTTGAAACAATTATAGTGAAAAATTGGGGACACATTAAGGTCTCACAATAAGAAAATGATAAACTGTGGAATACCCCTCAGTGGAATTTTATATACTTAAAAGCATTTATTCAGGAAAAGAGCATTAACAGGGAAAATATGGGATCCCATTAAGTTAAAAAATATCAAGACATTAGGTTGTATATACTGCATGATAAAAACTATGCAAAGATTTATATCTTTGAAAAAGAATGAGTTACAAAAATAATTTCATATATTCAAAAATGTGACCATTTCCTACCACCCTTAATGCAACAGCCTTTGCCTCCTAGAAGAGGATGCTGGAGTTCCAAGCTAAGGGAGAGATAGACAAGTGTCTCCTACTTGCACCCCTGCCACACCCCACACTGCTATCACCCCTCCTCTCTCCAACCTCTTCTTAGTATGCTAACTAGAGTCATCCTTCAAAAATGTAAATCAGACCATGACCCTCTTCTGTCCAGAACCCTACAAAGGCTCTCATCTCTCCAACTAAAAGCCAAGTCTAAACTTAGCATGGCCCCCCATGCTATGGTAGTGTCACCTTGCTGCTCTCATCTACTGCTCTGCTCCCATCCTCACCCCTGTTGCTCCACAAATGCTTACTCCATGCTGCTCTCTAGGCATAAATGTAGCCTCAGGGCCTTGGCACATGCTGTTTCTTCTGCCACGTCCTGTTATCTGAACGATTATGCTTCTTTCCTCCATAAGGAAGCTCTTTTTAAAAATAGGTTCCCTCTTCACCCTTATCCCCTTTTCTTTATAGTGTTTACAAACACCTACCACAATACACTTGTTTATTATCCCTTCCGCTTTCTAGAATGCATTCTTTGAGAACAAAGACTTGATTCTCTGCTGTAGCCCTGTACCTAGCAGAGCCTGGCACATGTTGAGCTAAAGAACTCTATGGGCTTTCTGTTTCTTGGGTGACCTCCTCCCAAAAGTGGTAGTAGCAAACCCACAGCATGTGTGCAGTGGAAACCAAAGTGGGAGCTGGTCATTTTCCAGGGAGGTCTCCATAGCACACACAGTACAAAGAGTATCCTGGGAGCTGGAGGCAGTTCAGCGCAGTGGAGAACAGAAGCAGCTTTGGGAGATCAAATCCTGGCTTACCACCACCAACTGCACAGCCTTGGGGAAATCAGAATTTCTGAGCATTCATTTTTTCCTTGTACAGAAAGAGAAAGATAACAGTTCCTGCTCCCCAGGGCTGGGGTGGGGACTAAAGAAAATGCCCACAAAGCACTTAGCAAGCACAGTGCCTAGCATGGAGTAGGTGTGCAATGAGAAGCAGTCAAATTTATCAATAGCCACATATATGCCTGTCTCTTTCAAGTTTACAATGTGCTCTTAATATATATGCTTTAGCTGATTTGGGCCTTTCAAACAATCCACCAATTTTATCACCATTTTACAGGGGAGGAAACTGGGTCAAAGAGTAAAGTGCTTGCCCACAGGCATAGCTGAATCTGATGAGTGCTTTGGCACCTTCTCTTCCAGAACACAGTGCCAACTGGTAAGGTGTGGACAGCCTGCAAGGATCCCAGACTCTAAAGCATGTGCTTAGTATAAGGCTGAGTTCAGAAATGAAATGGGCCACCAAGCTATGCTGTGTTAAGCTCAGGGAGGCAGCAAGTACACAGAATCCCTCGTCTGTGGCCCTTCCTCTGGGCGAGGCTTGAGAGCATGTCCGCAGATAAGCTGTCTCTACCTCTGAGTCCACCCAGGGTTAAAACACTCTATTGTTTTCCCCAGAAGGAAAACTACAAACACCATTCTGTACAGTTTCTCCTGTTTAGAACTGAGCAATAGCTGTAGGTAGCAAATGCCAACTTTGGTGTTGGAGGTCCCTGTGACCTCTGACCTCTGGCCCCATCTGCCCCTGACAACAAAGCATTTCTTCCCAAAGGTCATCAAGGGAGAAGCCCCTGAGTGGAGCTCTGGGCCACCTATTCAGGATCAAAGGCTAAAAGAGGCCACATAGCAGGGAAAAGATCACAGATGTTAAATGTGGAATTTTAGAATGAGGTTAAAAAAAAAAACAAAAAAAACACAGGCTTTCAGGAGTTGTGGCTTATGAGAACTGCAGCATCTGAGAGTAAAAAGTCCTTATGACTAAAACACCTTGTACCTCACAGCATTGGCAGAGATTACACTGGATGGGAAAGGGCAAGGAACTTAAGATGGCTCCTGAGCATCTTTTATGGGTCCCAGGCTTGGTGAGTATTCTGTGGTGAATAACTGGTGTAAGGGCTGCAGCCGCAGGACGGAGGCTGGGAGAACAGCTCTGCATATCAACCTAATAGCAAAATTCTATCCACAGGTCCTTGGATTGGGCAGTCTTCAGCGCATCCTGTTAAGCCAATCAGGCCTGACCACCAGTGTTGTATGGTGATGCCCCAATGGTGCCAGGTTTGCAGTTGTGACCAAGCTACCAAAAGACCATGATCATCGGCCTTGATGGAACACACTGTGTGAGTAACACTTAGCTGCCTTGGAAGCACTGCACAGCACCATGACTGGTTCCCATTTGCATGGTATTTACCATGGAGGAGAGTGTGGACCCCAAACCTTGGAAATGGCCTCAAAGGTGGGAATGACAATGGCTCTAGCCAGGGTGTGGGGATGGGTCCGAAGGCCACTTTGGGGCCACCTGGTATAGTGACCCATAGGTCCATCCCAGCCCTGGCTTCATCCACATTCAGTTAAGGTCACTTTAGGTGTCTATGCAATGGACTTCACTGATTTTTAAAAATGAGTTCTCTGGTAGTCATGACCTAGTATCAAAACTATAAAAATCTGTCTGGAGGGAGTTCACCATCCCAGGCTGCTCAGTGCAGGGCAGACCAAAGGACAGAGATTGGACTGCTCTACCAAGGTCAGAAATCCTGAGGAGAAATAGCAGGAAGCATGTGCAGTGGGGAGATATTATGAATTTGAAGAGTTCGGAGGCCCTGTGCCCTCCACCAGGAAGTCCCTGGTACTGCTCTCCATCTCTAGTGGGCAAAAAGAGGAGCTTACAATTCTGAGAGCCAGGACTGGTTGGGGGGCCCTGATTGGACTGATGGGGTCTAGTCATGATCAGAATTCATCCCGCAGCTGAGGGGGCCTATCCATACCGAAGAAAGAGGACGGCCTCCCCTGAAGGTCTCGTTCCCGCTTTACGAAGGCAGTAAAAGAGGAGACACAGTTGCCAATAAAGTGGTCGGCCTGGCCGAGGATGTACAGGTCAATCTGGGCCACATCAGGCTTCAGGCTCACAACTTTCACCTGCAGGAGCAAGGGCAGAGTGTTAGCTGGGTGGCCACCAAAAACCAAAGTCAGCTCAGCCAAGGCCGGTTATAGCCCTAACCTTCCTCCCCTGGGTTGAGGTTATAGACAAAAGGAAGAGTAGAGAGGATAGAGACAAGGGGTTGGTTTTCTGAAAGAAGACCTGGGTGCTGCCTAGGCCCACCCTGTGCCCTTTCCCCTCCAGATTTGGCTCCAAACATACCATTCCCACCTCTATGCCTTCACCTGTGTTGTTCCCTCTGCCTGCAATGCCTTCTCTCCACCCATTAAAATCCTGACCAGGGTTGGACCTAGTGACCCATGCCTGTAATCCCAGCTACTTGTGAGGCAGAGATCAGGAGGATGGTGGTCTGAGGCAAGCCCAAGCAAAAAGTTGGTGAGGCTCTATCTGAACCAACAAGTTGGGTGTTATGGCACCTGCCTGAGGTCTCAGCTATGGTGAGGCATAGGTAAGAAGATTGCTGTTCAGACCCTATCCAAAAAATAACTAAAGCAAAAAAGAACTAGAAGTATGACTCAAGTGTAGAGCACCTGCCTAGTCTGAATTCAAACCCCCCTCAAAAAAAATTCTGACCAGAGCTGGGGGTTTAGCTTGCATGCCCAAGGCCCTGGGTTCTAGTCTAGTACCAAAAAAACAAAACAAAGCCCAGAGCAGACTCAAGGCTCACCTCCCATTCTACCTTTCTCAAGAGTCTTAGCCTGCTGAGCTTCCCCCACCAAACCTGAGATCGAAGCAGATATAGCATGCACCCATCAGGTCCTCCTGCCTCCCTCTTCCACACACCCACCCCAAGCCTCAAATTCTGTCCAGTCGACCCCTGAGATCTTCCCAAAGGGTAATCCTTTCTGTGAGCGACTGCCCCATCCTGGGCCCAGTCAACTTTGACAGCCTTTTCATTGTCCCTCACTGCCTTCTCTGGTCTGCTCACCACAGAACAGTCAAAAGAAACTTCTGAAATACCCTTTTCCCCATTCTTCCTTCCCCCCGAAACTGAATACGCTTTAATAGTGCTCTACTGCCCTCAGACAGAGATGACAAATCATCTAAATCACACTTAACAAGGCCTTGGTCGGGCAGCCTCTCCCCTCCCCCATGGTCCCTAGCACTTTGGCCACTCCCTGCCAGGCTTCCTCCATCTCCTTCTCTGGACCTTTGCATATGCTGCATCTCTCTTTACCTGATTAACTCCTACTTAGCCTTCACTTCTCTGCTCATGTGGCACCCCTCTGGGATAGCCTTCCCCAGGCCCCAGCCTAGGCTGAGGTCCTCTACTCTGTGCTCTCACAGAGCCCCACTGCTCTACTTGGAGCACATATCTCAGTAGTTTAGGTTCCCTAGTGATCTGTGATTAACATCGTGTCCTCCATCTGGTTGGGGCTGGAGCTTTGTCAGTTCACTCTCCATTGCTGTGCTGGCCAGGCCTGGCCCAGAGCCTGCCTTAATAAACACCTGCTAAACTGACAAGTGGCTGAACAAACCCTGCTCCCCACCTGCCCACCTCCTGTTTCTTCCAGGATCTAGACTGTGAGTCTGATGGCTGGACCACATCTCATTCATTAGGGCCCTGCCTGAGCACTAGTCCAGCTTAGCGGAGGACCAGGGTTGGTTCAGAAGGAGCCTGTGGAAAGGGGACTGAGGAGCAGAGGGGAAGGGCGAGAAGACTGGCTCAGGAACAGGAAATAGAAAATAGCAAGAGGCTCAGGGCGTAACAAACACATCAACTCTAAAGCTGCAGAAAAACTCCCTGGGACTCTCCAAATGCTTCAACTTAGTAGAGAGGCGAGGGGGAGTGTAGGCAGAGCTTGGCTGAAAGTGCTTTGCTGTTCCACTGAGACTTCTAATGTCAAAACCCCATTGCCTTACTATTTGGGCTATAGCAAGGAAATACTACCAGTTTAACCATGGCCAAAATCCCCCAAACAATTCCATTCATGCCCTGGAACTTACCTGTTCTGTGTCATGCCCACTATAATTAGCTCTGGGACCTCTCGGGTAATTCTGTCCCAGCTTGGGACTTTAGTTTTCACAGCAACAGTGTGGACAGCCCCTTCACTGTCCCTTTCAGGCTAGGGGGAAAGGACCCCCAAGGTCTCCAGCTGGTTTTCTATCTAGGAAATGGGAAGGTAGAAGACCAGAATGCCCTGACCAGGCACTAACTCCACTGGCTGGAGCTTCTTGTTTTGGAGTGGCAGGGTAAAAGAGAGAAAAAAGCCCCAGAATATAAAAGCAGGGGCTTCTAATGCCTACCTTTAAGGTCTGCCCAACATTGACAGTTTTCAGTCATTCTGTAGTCTTGCTGAGTGCTTATTATTAATTCAGTCATCACATTACTCACTACCTACTCTTCACTGGCACAGTAAGCATTTACCAAGCACATTCTGCTATTTCTGCTATTCCTACTTAAACATTTATTCATAGCTTCACTAAGCACAAAAGATGTTTCCCTTTACAATCAACCATCTATCTCTACTATTGATGATAACTAACTTTTCTGAGCATTTATTTATAGTGGGAACTGTTTTAATTTCTTTATATTCAGTCTTTAGAATTGCCTCATGAGATACTATTCATATTCAGTCCCACTTTATAGATGAGGAAACACAGAGGCCAAATAACTTCTGCAAGGCTGCACAGTAAATAGAATCTGTGCTCCAGAGTATATATGCTCTTCATCCCTCTCATACTGGATCCCTTCTCAGGACCTACTCTGTATTCTTATTCAACAAACTGATTGTGTACTGAATGTCAGGCACTGTCCTAGACACTGGTGAGAGTAAGATAGGCCTCAGCCCCTGGGAGTCAAAGCACCAGGTTAGACATTGGGGACTATAAGAATGGGTCAGGCTGGGTATGGTGGCTCCCAGGTACTTGGGAGGTAGAGATAGGAGGATCACAGTTTGAGGCAAGCCCAGGCAAAGTTAGCAAGATCCTATCTCAAAACAAAATACAAAGAAAAAGACTGAAGGCATGGTTCAAGTGGTTGAGCACATGGCTAGTAAGCATTAGGACCCGAGTTCAAACTCCATTAACCCCCCTGCAAATAAAAAAAAAAAGAAAGAAAAATCAAACTAAATCAAACCAAAACAAAAGAATGGGTTAGACTTGGATCCTACCTTCAAGGAGCTCACACTCCTGGGAAAAAAATAAGACACATTTCTATGTTAGCCTCAGACAATCTAGAAAGTGCCTCAAAAGGAGAGAGCAGGTACCATGAGAGTTCCCAGAAGGGACTCACAAGCAAGTGAAGGAAGAGAGGAAGGAATCTGCAGAGGCATTTGAGCTGGGGTTGGAAGGCTAGATGGATCTGGAGAAGGAAGTGGGTCTAGGCAGGGGCTCATGAGGGGAGAACACGAAGCAGAGTGGAGGCAGTGGCCCTTCCTTCTTTCTGCATTGCACTCCCTCTTGGCCCATACATACCTTGTCTTTGAAGAGCTGCTGGATCTCAGGCACATAGCTCTCAGAATCTGTGGCGATGTAGACTGACTGGGCATGGAGCTTCTTCACCCAGAGCTTCACAGCCCGCTGGATTTCCTTCAGGTCAGGGAGGCACATGGTCATGGTGAGGGGCGCTGCTGTGCTTCGGCTGTAGCCCACACACTGCGGGGAGGCCATGAAGTGGGAACCTGCAGTCCCGTCCTTCAGCATGGCACAGGCTTTCTTCTACAGGCAGGAGTGGGGGCACAGAGTTAGAGTAGCAACTGCCCTAGACCCCAGAAGCAAGAACTGGGAAGTGGAAAAAGACAGGATGTATAGGAAGAACCCAACTAATTATTTTGGTGCTGGGAATGGAACCCAGGACCTCACATGTGCTAAGCACATGCTCTACCACTGAGCTACAACCCCTTGCTCGCAATAATTTATATATATAAATGCAGGAAATGCATCAAAATGGTAATAGTGGTTATTTCTAAGTGTGTGTGTGTGTGTGTGTGTGTGTGTGTGTGTGTGTGTGTGTGATATTGGTTTTGCAAATTATTTTTTTCTTGGTCTCACTGCATTATCTGGGACTTCTAGCAGAACTGTGAACTGTGGTGGTGACAGGGGGTGGGCAGGCTATCTGATTCCTGACTTCAGTGGAAATACTTCTGATAGTTCCCCATGAACTGTTTGCTATGGGTTCCAGAAAGATAGCCTTTATCAAGTTAAGGTGGGTCCATTCTATTCCTGGCTAGTTATGAGTTTTTATCATGAATGGGTTGTTGACTTTTATCAAATGCTTTCTTATCCTTTACTGAGATGATCATATGATTTTTATTCCTTGGGTGTTAGTACTGTGAATTTCATTGTATTCCTGGGATAGATTTTACTTGTTTGAGTTGTATATTCTTTAGTTTATTGGATTTTACGCACTAATATTTGACTTAAGATTTCTGCATCTAGTTCACCAGTGAGAACTGCTACAATTTGGGGTTGACTTTATCTGATTTTGGTATTAGTGTTACACTAGTTTTATAAAGAAAAAAATAGCACCTTACATTTTCTGATGTTCAGGAAAATATAGATGAGAGTTATTCCTTGAATGTTTGGCTGAAACCACTTATAAGTTATTCTGGGCCTGACTCCTTTTCCTTGTGGGAGAGGGGCAGGGAGAGCCTACAGGGTACTTGTGAGAATATCTCATTATATGATTATGAATGAATTTTAATCTAATTTCTAAGTTTACATATTTTTCAGTTTTCAACAATGAGCATTTCTAACACATTTGTATATCTCTTTATGTAAATTAAGGAGACTGTCTATATTGGTTCTATTTTCACATGGATGATATTGTGAGGAGGTTTCTGCACATTTAAGTAGCTTCCAAATTCTGGGAGGATGACATCTTTATTTCTTAGGAGCCCCACCCAATCTTCATAGTTGTTTGTTTTGTTTTGCTTTTGTAGGGCTGGGGATGGAACCCAGGGCCTTGCAATACTCTACTACTGACCTCCATGCCCAGGCCTTGTAGTTTGTTTTTTTATCAAGGGGTCTTTTAGGTCTCCTAGGCTATGGGTCTCTCTCCAGCTTACTGTCTGGCCTGGGATCCAGCTGGATAGTAGTTTATCCATCTGCAAAATGAGGATACAAATGGGAGCTATTAAAATGATAGCTGGCTAGCAAGCACTCTATAAAGTCACACTTTTGATGTGTGCTGCGGCAGGATCACAGGACATAATCCCACAGACTTGACCAAATGAGCTCTCTCTGCTCAGGATGGGACTTGGGTCAATCCCCAGATATGAGCTCTGCTCAGCTGCATGTCCAAGTCTCCCATAGAGAGGAAGGGGAAGTTACCCAGTCAGAGCCAATGCGCAGATGAATGCCCACATAAGGCCGGATGAGATGGGTGAGGATCTGGGCCTCTCCTGTTTTCACCATCTCGTCTGACCACACCATGTACTTTTGGAGCGACCTGTGTTCTTCCAGGACAGGGAACTGGGCTGGGGCCCCGGGCAGGGCAAGCACTGGATGTTCCTTTGGAGAAAATCTAGGCATAAGATGGAATGAGGGTGAGTGAGATGAGGATGCACAGAGAGCCTGGCTGCCACCCCCCACGGGAAAAAGGATGGCATTGCACCAAGCTCCAGAGACCCTGTGGAGGGCCCCTGTAATGCGCAAGAGGCACAAGAGGTTGTGAAATCCCAACGGGCTGATAAGAAAGCTTGTAGCAGCAACAAGCACAATATGCAATACTGTCCCGCCACACGGAATTTACAACCTTCTTTGCTTGTTTAACAATTAAAAATTTACAGTAGAGCATTCCAACCTTTTATATGTCACGCTGGCTTCCAATCTCTGGTGCGGTAATTCACTCCTGGGTGGGGTGTCTAGACCAAGCCTTTGCCCTTTTACCCACACGGCGGGACTGGGACAAGCAGCTGCTTACAGAGGCAACGGCTGGGTCCCACGCACAGGGACTGTGCACACTGATCATTCATTCAACACCTATCAAATACATATTGACTACCTACTATGTGCGGGGACCAAGGAAGAATGAGTCCAGCATAATCCCTGCCCTCTTGAGATGTATCAAAGGTCTGCAGATGCCCCTGTTATGCCCTCTTAAGTCTTTCCCCATTTGTATGGTATGTGTTTTGAATTATTATATTGCATCTGTCTTTTTTTGCTGGACCTCTGTCTTTTCTGAGGCCACTGGTGGCAGTGTCTCCAGTGTGTATAGACCAGTTCCTAGCACATATGAGAGCTCACTAAATAGTTGTTGACTGAATGAGTGAGTAGCAAACTTGTGTTCCCTCTATTTTTTTTTGGTGGTACTGGGGTTTGAATTCACACTTGCTAGGCAGGAGCTCTACCACTTGAGCCACTATGCCAGCCCTAGGGTTCCTTTTTTTAGCTAAAAAAGGCCATACCAACAACATGAAGCACCTGCTGTTCTGTGAACTCACAATGCACTTTTAAACTCTGGACCTCTGCATACTTCTTCCCTTCACCTGTAATACCTGCCCCTGCTAGTCAAAATTCTTTTCTAAACATAACGAAAGAGGCACAGCACTTTGCAAAACAGCCTGGCAGTTACTTTCTTACAAAAGTAGACGTGCAATTACCATATGATCCAGTAATGGTACTCTTGGACATTTATCCCAGGAAAATGAAAGCTTATATTCACACACAAACCTGTACACTAATGTTCATGGCAGCTTTATTTGTAATAGTCCTAAATTAGAAACAACCCAGATGTCACTGAGGAAATGGTGCAACAAGCCATGATATATCCATACCACAGAATACTACTGCAGCTTGGATGGCTTTTTTTGTTTTTTGTGGTATTGAGGTTTGAACTCAGGGCCTATATCTTAAGCTACTCCACCAGCCCTTTTTTGTGATGGTTTTATTTGAGATAGGGTCTCCCAAACTATTTGCCAGGGTTGTCTTTGAACCGAGATCCTCCTGATCTCTGCCTCCTGAGTAGCTAGGATTATAGATGTGAGCCAGAGGCGCCCAGCTTGGATGGCTCTTAAAGGAATTATCCCAAATGAAAAAAAGTGAATACCAAGCTAGGTGTGGTAGCATGCACGTGGATTAGGTGGATCATGATCTGAGGCCATTACAAGCAAAAAGTTAGCAAGATACCCTATCTCAACCAGTGGCGCTACACAGGAGGTGCAAATAGCAGGACTGTGGCCCAGGCAGGCCTACAAAAATGCAAGACCCTATTAGAAAAATAACTAGAGCAAAAAGAGCTGGGGGCATGGCTCAAGTGGTAGGCCACCCTGAATTAAAACTCCAGTACATCCTCAAAAACAAAACAAACAAACAAAAAATCCCAACCAATCCCTAAAAGTTACACATTACATGATTGTTTATTTAATAATGAAATGTAAAACAGAGAAGAAATTAATAACTGCCAGGGGTTAAAGATGGTTGTGTGTTTAGGGAGGTGGGTGTGGTTATAAACTTGCCACACATGAATCCTTGAGATGATAGAACCTTTCAATGTCTTACTTTTGGTGGTGGATACATAAACCTATACTTGTGATAAAACTGCACAGATCTAAATACACACAGGTGAATACAAGTAAAAGAGGAAATCTGAATAAGTCAGGCACATGGTATCAGTGTCAATATCCTGGTTTTGAGACTGTACTATGGTTTTGCAAAACGTTACTATTCAGGGAAACTAAGGAAAAGGCACATGAAAAGTGAAAGGGCACATGAGATCTCTATGGGTTATTTCATTTTTAAAATTGATTTTTGGAGTTTGATTCAGGACCTTAAACTTGCTAGGAAAGTGCTCTACTATTTGAGTCATGCCTGCAGGCCTTTCTGCTTTATTTATTTATTTTTTCAGATAGGGTCTTGTGCTTTTTGCTCGTGCTGACGCCTTGGGCTGCAATCCTCCTACCTATGCTTCCCTTGTAGCTGAGATTACAGTATGTCCCACCATGCTTGGTTTGTGCTTTTGAGATAGGGTCTTGCTAACTTTTCTGCCTGGGCTGGCCCTGAACTGCAATCCTTCTATCTCTGCCTCCCAAGCAGGTGGGATTACAGGTGCTGCTACTATGGTTGGCCTTCTATATTATTTCTTACAACTACATGTGAGTCTACAATTACCTCAAAATATTTTTTTAAAATTATGAAGTATTTCAACCCCTTAGGCAAATACAGAAAATAACAACCCACATTTCCATGACCCAAGTCAGTAGATCACTTCAGATTTTTTTAAATGCACACCTAAATGAAAGTTCTAGTCTACCATCTCTTTCCTTCCTTTTCTTCCTCTTTCCATCTATCTGCATGCCTATTTATACCTTAGCTTCCTTATTTGTATAATGGAGCTGATAATACTTCCTACCTCATAAAGGCTGGGTTTTTTTTTTTTTTTTTCTCAGTACCGGGGTTTGAACTCAGGGCTTATTAGGCAGGCATTCTATCATTTGAACTATACCCCCAGCCCTCATAAGGCTGTTTTTTAAATACTGTACATATTTAAGGTGTACAGTATGTTTTGATATACACACATAATTAAAAAATTAGTACGTCAAGCCAATTAAATATGTCTGCTGAGAGGATTAAATGAATTAATACAAGCAAAACATTTAAAACAGTGCTCAGCACATAGAAAGGTCCCATAAAATTCTGGCATCACCATCATCTTGCACACAACCTACTTTAACATCTTAAAAACTCAACTTTAGCCATCTACTGTGGCTCATGCCTGTAATCCTAGTTGCTCGGAGCAGGATCAGGAGGATTGAGGTTTGACTAGTCCAAGCAAATAGTTTGTGAGCCCCTATCTCAAAAAAAAAAAATCACAAAAAGGGCTGTTGGAATGACTCAAGGTATAGGCCCTAAATTCAAACCCCAGTACCACACATGCACACACGCACGCACACACACAAAACAGCCAAAAACCTCAAGTTCATGCTTTAGAAGCTGGGCCATGTTGGTTTCTCAAAATGTTTCAGGTAGTGTGAGCAAACCGGAGCTTACCTATCTACTCCGCTTCGCTTTGCTGTAGACTGTCCACCCCTTCATGCACATGACAGTGCTGCAATGGATGTGTCACTAATTCTTCACACCCAACCCAGGCATGTGGTTGAGCAAACACCTCCCAACCCTCAAATCAGCTGCCAACCACTGCATGCTGGAGTGCTCAGCAACCATCCTCCCTGCTGTTGGGACTGTCAGCGGTGAGGACAGGGACCCTAGCAGCCTGTGTACCAGGATTCACACACACACTAGCCAAGGCCTCCATTAAGGACACAAGCAAGTATTCTTTCCGTGGTCTGACTGCATGACACTGGCTTCTTAGACTCTTAAGTTTTTGTTTATATGGACATACATGGGAATTAAGTATTGAGCCTTACTTTGTGACAGGTCAATTGCTTTATATATTTTAACTCATATGATGTCTGCAGGAGGAATATTGTGAGGTTAGTATGATTACTAGTCTCTTTTTACAGATGAGGAAATGGAGGTACAAAGAGGCTAAATAACATATGGAGGTCACACAGCTGGGAACTAGTGGAGCTGGGATTTGAACCCAGATAGATTGCTATAAAAATTGTTCTTGACTCTTAGATCTCATTCCCATCTTCACACGCAATCAAGGAGCATCTCAGTGGCTGAGTCTGAGGCTTCTTCTTCTGAGCCATAGTTCCTAGCACAGGCATCAACACACAACAGGTGCCATAAATATTCTTAGAATGAATGAGAGGGACTCAGGGACCTCACTGGAAAGACCAGGTCAGGATGTCAGGAGTTGGCAGAAGAAACTAGTATTACCTGAGCATCTACTATGGGCCACCCCCTCAGCTAAGCTCCTTTCAGATATAACCATAAAGGACTCTGAAAGGAAAGAGTTTTCTGGTTTCTCAAGGGGCTGGAACAAATCAGGATTTACAGGTTGCAGGCTGGAGGTGTGGCTCCAGCAGCAGTACACCTGCCTAACAAGCATGAAGCCCTGAGTTCAAACCCCAGTACTGCTAAAAAATAAAAAATAAATCAGGATTTGTGTTCTCCCTGATTTCTTCAAAGGAACCTTCACATGACCCTTGGTGAACTCTAGACTTGGAATGTCTGTCCCTGCTCCCTGGCTCTGGTCCAGCACTGAGCTGTCCCAGTGGGCACCATCAGCATGGACCCAATAAGCAGCAAAAGGTCAAGTCTGGACTGCTCATTTACTCTTGGTGAGGTTAGAGAGTGTTGTCTGGAAAGAAATTCTGGAGTAGGCATCTTGGTTGCAAAAAAAACTTGACCAGCTCCACCTACTCCACCAGGTCAGTTTTTAGCCTGGTCACTGTCCAACTAAGAAAGATGGCTTTCCTGCTGCTGGGCCCAGTGAACCTCTGGGGTTCTTCACCACTTTGCCCACACTGTTGAGGTTCCCCAGCAGGCTAGGGATCCTCTAGGCACACCATCCACTCATGTTCCCAGCATAGATGGGCACTCCGCAGGTGACTGCCATGCTGAGTACAGAGATACAAACAAGGCAGGTCTTACTCTCCACATTCCTCTAGCTGGCTACATGGCTGGATCCCTTATCCTTCAGGTCTCAGTCTGGTTTCAGTCCTGCCAATTACCTGTCACCTTCTTATATCTTCTTGGGGAGGCTATGGCTTGGGAGAATGATAACCCATGTGTTATGATTTGGATATGAAATCTCACAAAGCCTTGGTCCTCAATGCAAAACTGTTTATAGAGGACTCTAATTTTATCAATGAATTAGTCCACTGATGGACCCGTAGCTGAATGGACGTTAGGAGATGATAAAAACTGTAGGTAGAAACTGTAGTTGGAGGAGGTAAATCACTGGTGATGTGACCTTGAAGGGTGTTTCTACTTTACTCCCTTGTTCTCTCTGCCCCCTATCCATCATGAGGTGAGCTAGTTTACTCCACCACCTGCTTCCCACCATGATGCTCTGCTTCACTACAAGCCCAGAAGTAAGGAGTCAACTGCTCAAAGACTGAGACCATAAGTCAAAATAAATCTTTCCTCCTTTAAGTCCATTTTCTCAGATATTCTGTCACAGTGATGAAAAGCTAATCAACACACCATGTACTCAAATACCTACTATCTTTTTATACGAGAATGGTTCAACATGATAGTCCATAAACTTCCAACAGTAAGAGTGCAGGACATATCTGCTGAATTAAAGCTCTACCATGACTCAGAATTGGAAGAGCTGGAAGGAGTCTCAGAAATCATTTGGTAGGGAATAAATACCTCTTATATCCTCCTAGAACCCAATTTTCAGCTGGATACACTGAAGCCCAAAATAAAGACATTTTTCCAAATTTCTTGCAGCCATTTTTGGTTCATGTACCTTTGCACTAGTCAATGAGATGCAAACAAAGGGTTATAATGGATTTTTGCCCTAGTGTTACCCTAACTTAAGCCTGATGTACTTAGACCTGTAGCCTACAAACTTTTTCACCTTACCCAAGCCCTGATATGCATGAGGGTTATTGGTCTAAGATGGTGTGGAGGAAGAACTGGATCGTTCAAACCTGGTCCCCATTGCTACCCCTGACAAAGGCCCAATAGCATTTCTTAAGAATGGTGAGGACAGTTTGAGAACAATGGTCTTGCTCAGTGGGGACTGATCTTGCTCATTCCTTTCCTTTTATAAATAGAGCATGGAGGCTAGAGATGAAAGCATTTAATTTGACTGAGTTGTATACTTAAAAATAGATTTTAAAAAACTTCCATTAACATAAATATACATATATATATAGACATACCTGTAGCTATTTTTTGAAATTCCATGTTTATATGGTTAAAATTGATCCTGCCAGCATATTTACCAACCTGGCAAATATTGATATTCATTGCTCCTCAAAAAAGATACTTAACTTCCCCCTCTATATAATGACTTTAAGTTAAAGTGTGTAGGTACGTATAGGGACTAAAAATGTGTGGAGGGTACAAGTATACACGTCAAAAGGCTAATGGTATTTGTTTGTTTGTTTTCTAATGGTGTTCTAAGGAGGAGTAGTGGGATTAGGAGTAAATTTAATTTTTAATTAAGAAAAAAACTCTTTGACTCTGTAGTAGATATTATATTGACTATTCATTCCAAAAAATTAGATGTTTAACCTGGATTTGAACTTTGTATAGCTGGGATGCCAAACACACACACACATACACACACACACACACACACACACACACAAATTAGAAAAACAGGCTGGATGTGGTGGTTCACCCGTAATTCTAGCTAGTCAGAAGGCAGAAACTGGGAGGATGGAGGTTTGAGGCCAGTGCAGGCAAAAAGTTCATGAGACCCCATCTCAACCAATAACCCAGGCTTGGTGGTGCCCACTTGCCATCCCAGCTGTGCAGGAGACAGAAAAAGGATTGTGGTCCAAGGTAGGCCCAGGCATAAATGTGAGACTCTCTTTCAAAAAAACACCAAAAAAAGGAAAAAGGGCTGTGGGGTATGACTCAGGTGGTAGAATACCCACCTACCAGTACCACCAAATATCAAACAAACAAACAAATAAAAAAATAACTGTCAAGCTGAGCTCAGTAATACACAGAGCCCTGAGAAATAACACATTACTGCAATTCCAGTAAGTTTGGGTAGGGTTATTATATAGCAATGGATGACAGCAGCATCCTACCAATCCCCTCCTCACTCCACCCTGACCACACTGGCCTTCCTCTGCTCCTTGACCACAACAGGCTTGTTCCTGCCTCAAGACCTTGGCTTGTGACCTATCATGAACTGCCTTCTTTCCAGCTCTTAGTGTGGTTGGCTTCTTGTCATCCATCAGGTTCAGCTCTGCCAATCACATATCACCTTGTGTGGTTCTGAAACCATTCTACATAAAAGTTTACGCACTGTCTCCTCTTTTAGAAAAACAGACCCACCAAGGTGGGTTTTATCTATCTTATTCCTGCCAGTATCTGCAGAATCCAGAGCAGTGCTTGACCTTCAGTAAGTGCTTCTTAAATATGTATTTGAAGAAAGGAAAGCAGCTGCTTATAGGGCTCTACCTCCCTCAAACTGCCTCACAGACCTCAAGTCTACTAGTTTTTTCTTTTGCCTTTTCTCATGTGCAGTGAACCCAGGCAAGACTACTGAGAAATGAAGAAACATATCAGCAACATTCCCTGACCAATGCATTCATGTAGCACTGTCCTTTCTTTGCCCATTAGGACTGGGTGCTTTCTCTTGCTTTTTGGAATTCACTTTTGGAGATGCTTTTTGAGTTGGTGGCATGTTTTTTGGCCTGGCATACTGTCAGCAATAGAGGCAACTCCATTCTTTGAGGGCAAATCTGCCTTCTGGCAATGGCTCTGAGATGAATGGGGATAACCCAGCAGGTGATCAAATGGGAGAGTCCTATTTAGGATCAACAACAAGGAAGGTTAGAGTCTGCAAAACTGAGTATTCTCAGTGGTTCCTCATTCCAAAGACAAGTCCCAAACCAGAATGGGCAGCTGATAACAGCACAGCCCCTTAATCCTCAATGATTAAAAATGGGTGCTTTCTGGCCGGGGTTGTGGCTCACACCTGTAATTCTAGCTACTTTGGAGGCTGAGTTTGGAAGGATTGAGGTTCAAGGCCCAGGAAAATACTTCACAAGATCCCATCTCTAAAATAATCAGAGCAAAATGGGCTGAAGGTGTGGCTCAAGTGGCAGAGTGCCTGCTTTGCAAGCATAAAGTCCTCAGTTCAAACCCCAGTCCCACCAAAAAAAAAAAAAAAAGGAACTTGGTAGTAAAAGCCATTTAGCCATTTTATGAAATTTCTTTTTTTTCTTGTGGTACTGGAGTGTGAACTCAGGGCCTACATCTGGAGCCACTCCACTCCAACCAGACCTTTTTTGTGATGGGTTTTTTGGACATAGGGTCTCTTGAACTATTTGCCTGGGCTGGCTTCAAACTGAAATCCTTCTGATCTTTGCCTCCTGAGTAGCTAGGATTACAGGCATGAGCCACAGGTGCCCATCATGAAATTTGTCACAGTCTTAAATAAAATAAGGTGTGTGAATAACAGTGACAGCTAACTTTGTTTAGCTGCTTACCATTAGTGCTCTTTCCATTAAAGTAGGGAGAAAACTGAAGCCAGAGAACTGGAAGGCTTGTTCAGAGTCCCCCTGAGAAAGACAGGAGTGGGACAGAGCAGGACTCTTACTCCTAGACTTGTGCATATGTCTCTGTATCAGTCCATCTCCAGCCTACTAAATGCCAAATACTGTGACTACACCTGAATTCATGTGTTCCTCTTCCTAATCCAGTTTGACTTTAATTTTTTTTTCTTTTGTTTTGCAGTGCTGGGGATGGAATCCAGGACCGTGCATATGGTAGACAAGTAAGTGCTGTATCACTGAGTTACACCTCCAGACCCCAGTCTAACATTGAAGCCCAGGCTCTTTCCTGCCATATTACGTCAATGTCAAGTGCACCATGGGAGTTATCATCATTCTAACTAGATGGTTGCTCCCTGAAGACCAGGGCCAGGTCTTCCTCCTTTTTATTTATCAACTATGGCCTTTGAGTAATATGTTTCACACATGATAGACGCTCTATAAATATTTCACAGCCTGTGCCTATGCCCTGCTAACCTATTTTTTTTTTAATAGGGCCTACTGGCACACAATTAATAAAGCACAGCCAGTAATTATGAGGGTGACATCACTTCTCAGTCTGCACCTGAAGCTTGTTCTCTGGGAGCTACTTCCAATTTTCACCTTGTGAAGAGGAAAGCACAGGGGAGTGATTCTCACGCCTAGAGGAGGAAATCGAGATGCATGTGACTGCACAATGTTCTTTTTATGACATCCCTTATCAGCCGAGAAACTCTTGCTCAACCTTGTGGCAGGTCAACGTCCCACTGTGTCAGGCGTTGAGATGGGAACAGATCACACGGGATCCTAAGTTCAACAGACAGAGTGCCTGTACCTTTGGTCTCATACATCAGGGTGGGGGAGAGGAAAAGAGGGCCAGGGAGGTGCTAGATGCCCCTGAGTACCAGGCCCCTCCCTGAACCCAGCACTGCTGCCCGCTCCAAGTACCTCTGGATCCATTGTTCTTTGTAGGAGGCGCTGAAGGAAATGCCAGCAAAAAGCTCTGACTTATTGAAACTCACGTGAAACTGATCCCAAAATGGGCCAAAGGGGTTTCCTTCCTGCAGAAAGAGAATGGTGGAAGGCTCACTGAGCTGGAGGGAAAGAGTATGGGGATGGGGCCAAGGAACTGTAGGTAAGGGAAGGCGGGGCGGTATGACTCAGGCTGAACACCCTCACAGAGTGGCTCCCTTGGCTAGGAGCTGAGGAGATTGCTCAGCATCTGTTATGATTTCCAGCAGGCTGTTTACCAGAAAGAGTCTTTCCAATGACATGGTATGTCCCACTGACCTTGCAGCATTGGTGCTGCAAGGAGAAGCAGACCTTAGATTGCAAACATGTGGTAGAGCTTCAAGAGACTCCCAAGTCCTGGCTAATACAACACTCTCATTTTCAAGATGCAAATGAAGGCTCACAGAGAGTAAGAAACATGCCCAACGTCACACAGCAGGTAAAGGCAGTGTTGGGGCTACCAGCTAGGTTTCCCTTATCAGATTTAGTGCAGCATATGCACTAAAAGACATATTTGAGGACTGTCTTATTTCCAAAATGCCAGAAATTTACAAATTTCTACTGATAAAGTATGACAGCTTCTCATCTGCCTACTGAAAGGCAAGGAAGTAGACAATGGAGTCAAATTACCTAGGGTTGAATCCCAGTTCTGCTTTGTTTCATGAACTTGGGCAAAACTTAGAATCTCTCTGCCATAAGAAGTGTCTTCGTTATAAATGGGGCATTACTAGTACTTTTCTCATGGAGCAGTTTGAGGACTAAATGGGTTTGTATGCATACAGCTCTTAGCATGGTACCTGACATGTAGTAGAGTTACATATGATAATTAGTTATTATTATTGATGTGGCACTTTGTAGTTTACAAGCACTCTTACACCTAGCTGTCTTGACTCTCTCTGAATAAAACAGAGCAGGGACTGGTTTCTCTTATGTTTTTTATTCAGAAATAAAGGTTCAGAGAAACAAAGTCTGCCCAGGGTAACACTGCTAACAACTGCTAGAAATAAACTCAAATCTCCATCTTTCTACTTTATGCCTTTTTGGTGTCTTTCCCCCATGTAGTCTCAGGGGCTGAGAGGACACAGAACAAGCCAGAAAAGGCCCCCAGACCCACAGTACCTACCTTCATGGGGCATGTCTTCTTATCATGGCTTCGCTGGGCTGCTACCTCAAAGCAATATGCCACCCGTTTCTCAGAGGGCCAGTGGGTGGGTGCCAGCTTTTCCATGAAGTCCTCCAGGCTTATGACCCGATGATAGGCCTGAAGGGGCTCTAGCTTGAAATACTTCTGGTAGGACACATGGAGCTATAGGAAAAGAAGAAAAGGAGAGCAGAGGTTCCTTTACAGTGTTCCAGTTTTAGAGACATTAAAACTACATACTCCAAGACCCAGACAGCACAGACTACGTGGCAATGAGAAACTTCTGTTAAAAGACACTAAGTGAGGGAAGGGAAGGGAAGACAAGGGACGGGAAGGAATAGAAAACAAAGAAACCAAAGTTAGAACAGAGACAAATTGGGAAAAGATATCTATAAACCAAAGAACTAACAGTAGTATCTCGTGTCCAAAGATGACTGATGATCTGTTAGAAAGATGACTGATGAACAACTCACAGCGAAGGAAAGTCAAATAACCAACACACTCAAAACTTGTACAACCTCCCAGTAATTAGGGAGAAGCGAATCAAAATTGTAAGAAGGCTTCACTTCTCACCCATGAGACCAGCAAAGATATAAAAGCTAACCCCAATTGTGGGAAAGGATGTGGGGAAATGAGCATTCTTGTACATGGCTTGTAGAAGAAGTGCACATTTTAAAGCCATCATTTTGGGATTCACTCTGTCAGTAGCCATAGAATCAGAATGCTTCTTCCACTGCTAGGTATTTGCCCTGGAGTCCTTGAACTTTGCACTAAAAGATGAGTACAGGGGTGCCCAGTGCCACAAAGGAAGTATAAAAATGTTTATCTAGTGTGGAAAGAGTCATACTAAATACACTAAATCCATGAGGGCGGCTGCCTCTGGGGGCAGGGAGAGGGACAAGAATTAGCCACAGCAGCCATGGGAAGCTATCTTTTTTAACTTTATCTGTAGTGCTTTATTTATTTTTTTAACAAAAAGAAAAGATGAAGCAAAAAGGAGAAAGTGCTAATGATGATCACTTCTAAGGGTGGGCACAAGAATAGTAGTTGTATTCATCTTTGTATTTTTTAGATTTAAAAAATAATTCTTAGATCATGGAATAAAATTTGGAACTCATCCTATAGGTCAGGGCTTCCAAAGCATGGCCCACTAGTTCAGGGGGATAAAGGGTTCTGCAGTAAAAGGGCTCCAGAGCTAAAGAGGCCTAAGAAATGTTGTTTTAAGCTAGTTTTTTACTGCAGAACTTTTGAGGACCTTTAACATGCTAATGTGCATTTCAAATCTGCAAACTTGGGAGGATGGGTAATTGACATTGTTATTTCCCAGTCAGGGTAATTGACATTGTTATTTCCCAGTCAGGCTGATGGCACAAGCCAACAATCCTAGTTACTTGGGAGGCTGAGATCAGGAGGATCCAGGTTCAAGGCCAGTCCGAGCAAACAGTTTGAGAGGCCCATCTCTGAAATAACCAGAGCAACATGGACTGGAGGTATGATTCAAGTGGTAGAGCGCCTGCTTTGCAAGTGCAAAACCCTGAATTCAAACCCCAGACCCACCAAAAAAAAAAAAGGGAGAAAATGTCATTTCCCAAATGAATTTAACTACTGTAGCCTTTCAGCATTCCATCCATCCACAGTTCATGTTCCAATGAACAGACTTTGGGCACCTTAACTATAAGCAATGAGGTATTATAGCTAAAGAATTTTAAGCAGAAATAATATAAGGTTTGTCTTTTTTGAAGGATCACTACGGTGACATAGGATAGAATGCACTAATAGTAAGATTAGAGGAGGGAGAGGAAGTAGGAGGCTACTGCACGGCCATTGCATTTGTTTAAGCATGCATTTAACATGCACTCTCTGGAACCTCCTGCACATCTAAGTGAGAGAGGGAGTGGACCACACAGGTAGGAGATGGAAGGGAAAGTGAAGCAGAGGTTTGAGAGCTGAGTGTATATTAGGGGAGGCATTTAGGATAACCTCTAGGTTTCTGGCTTGGTAACCGGGTGAATAGAGGTAGCATATACTAGGGCTGGGGTTTCAGATAGTGACAGATTGGAGGGGAAAGATGCCAAGATCAGTTCCAGCTTTGTGAATTTCGGATATTTGTGGGACATCCAAGTAGACTTAAGGGTCTATGAGTCAAAATGCAGGCCTGTGGTCAGAGAGGAGGCAGGACCACAGATAAACTGGAGGTGCACGGAGAGTAGTGAAAGCCACAAGAGTCAACAGAAAGTTACAGCAAAGCAAGTGATGGTAATAACAGCAACTACAATTTATGGAGTGGTTAGTGGCAAGCGCTATACTCATCCCTTTACAAGGATCTGCTCACCTAATTCTAAGAGGCAGGAATATAACCATTTTCAGTTTACTTGTAAAGACTCCCAGGTGTACGTGAGTCCTACTTGACTTATCTGAGGCCACATAGCTAATAGCAAACAGAAGGAGGACACACCAACGGCTAAACAGTGGGTGGAGAGAGAGGAGACCCCAGGATAGCACAAAGAGGACAAAGTAGAGCGATCAGTACTGCAGCAGGAACAGGCAGTGTCCTGGAAACCAGGGGAGGAGGAAAATTCAGGAAGAAGAGATGCTCAGGGGGCCAGGTGCCACTGGGAGGTCAGGTGAGACAAAAACTAAGAAATGAACTCTGGATTTGGCAATTCTGAGCTTCCTGGTGACCTCAGTGAGAAAAGTCACAGTGGGGAAGGGAAGCCCAGCTGGGGCAGGTTGAGAAACCAGGGAAGTGGAGACTCAGTACAACAACTGTCTGAGGCAGCAAGGAGACAGAAAACAAGCGAACCACAGGGAGATACACAGGCAATGTTTAAAAAGCAAGTGCAAAAAAATCAGAACATCAATGGATCCAAGGAACTGAAAACTTCCTGAGGCCTGTGTCCTCTCTACATTGAGGAGCTCAGCTGATTCTAAGAGGGAGGCATGTGACAACATTCAAGGCATGTTACCCAGTAACTCATTCAATACTCACTTTGGGAAGTAGTGATAATTATTACCAGGCTATTTGAAAAATGAGGAAATTGAGGCACAAAAAGGTTGAGTACCTTGCCTAGGCCACACAATTAGTAAGTGGCCAAGCTAGGTGTGGTCTGATAGTCTGACTTTTAATTTCTATACTAGCTGCTTTAGTATAGTTCAGTTGTAGAGCACATGCCTAACATGTATAAGGTCCTTGGTTTGATCCCCAGCACTGGGGAAAAAAAGTCTCTCCAAACATAGGTATGCAAAGAAGAAAATACAACCTATACAGAAAAAAAGCTATATGAAAGAAATACAGTGTTTTGTACATACTAAGTATAAATTCTAATGTCCATTCAAAATTTTAAAGTCAATTCATTAATATTAATTAAGTTCCTACTTCCAGGCCTCTGGGGATGCAGCATAAAGACAGACAGACACATGCTACTGTACAAACTAGGAATTAGAAGACACTAAGCATGCCATGCCAAGTGAGCCCCTTGATAGGATGAGAGGTGGCAGTGGAGCTAGACTGCCTGGGTTTATAGCATTAGACACACTGTTAACTAGTCCATGCCTCAGTTTCTCCTTCAAAATTGGTAATAGCATCCATTGCCTGGTGACTAATGGAATGCACAGAGGTAGAGGCAATCAGGACTGGAAATGGAGGTTTTAGGTTCAGGTCACAGGCTCTGGAGTCAGACAGTCATGGGTTTGAATTCTAGCTCTACCACCCACAAGTTGTGTGACCTTGTGCAAGTGACCTAACTTCTCTAAACCTCAGTTTGCCCACAGGGATGAGATGTGTGAGAAATGAGCTAATCTTCATGCAGTGCTCAGAACAGTGCCAGCATATGGTAGGTGCTGCATAAATGTTAGCCTTTGATATTCAGAGATGACAGTTTTAGGTAGGAAGCCAGGCAAGCTCAGAGGATTGGCTTTTACAATGACGATCCAGAGAACTTGGGAGTCAAAGAGAAGTCAGCAAGACTGGAGAAGGGTAGACAAGGGCCAAGATCAGTGGAAATACTCACATTGGTGAAGGGAGGCTTGTGATGTTGGTACTCAATCCACGGAGGTATAGCCAAGGTGCGGTTCAGCAGTTTTGCAAATGCCAGGGAGCCCAAGAAGTGATCAGCTTGGTTCCCAAAGCGCCCTAGAAATGGAACAATGGGTGTGAGGTGAGGCCTGGGGTATCAAGAGCATGGGGTATGCAGGGCTCAGAAAGGATGTGAATCCAGGACACAAGAAGAAGTAGGGGAGCTGACAGCATGAGAGCAAGTCTGGACTTTTGAGTATGACATTTAAGGTCCTATAGGCCCTGTTCCTTCTGCCTAGCCCGTTCCAGGTTCCTTGCTGTTTTCTCAATACAGTCCCCACTCCACCTGTTGTCTTTGCTCTTGCCTGAGCCAAGAATGCCCTTCCACTTTTATCTCCATTTACCTGCACATGAAGGAATTCCAATGCCTCATTTGCTAAGATCCTTTCACCAACTTCCATCAATACTCACTCTCCCTCCTCTGCCTCCCACCTTGGATTTGAGTTATTTAAGTTCTTCATTTATCCTCAAATGGTTTTTGTTTTTAATTTACTGGGTTTTTATACTGGCTGTTTTCTCAACCTGTAAATGCCTCAGGTGCAACGACTTTGACTCTTTTTGTTACCCCAGCCTGACATCTATATATACATTCCACAAACATTGAAAGCCACAATGTGCCAGGTTCTATGCTAGGTGTTAGGATACAGTAGTAAACAAGGACAATGTGTCTGCCCTCAAGGCACTCACAGTCCAGCTGGGGAGATACTAAACATGAAAACAAAGACTTGCAAGAAAGAGATGAAAAAATTTGGTGACGGAAATTAGTAAGATTACTTGGGTATATAGGTCAGTGGAGTCTTCTCTGATGACATTTACACAGCAGTGAAGGGGAAGGTGTACTAAGAACAGAAAGGAGGTAAGAGTGGCTTCAGCTGGAGGGTCAGGGAGTTTTGGAGATGCCAGCAGAGGCCAAATCATACAGGGCCTTTGGCAATTGGTCAAGAGTCTGGAAGCTATTGCAAGGCTTTAAGAAGGAATGACTTTTACAATAATGATCCACTACTCAATTTACATCACACTCTTCAAATGTCCCTTTAGAGCCTTCCTTCTCTTTATCTTCTCAGAGTTTTCTTTATTTTCCATGAAACTATGCACTTATTTTTTATGTTTATCACTTATTGTCTTCCCCCATCTAAAAATGAGGGCTCTGTACAAGGACATGAGGTTTATCTGTCTTACTCATCACTGTATTCCCAGCCCAGAGAACAGCGCCGTGAAAGTGCGCCACAGACCTATTTGGTGAGTGAATGAAAAGAATCGCCTGGAGCGAGCGTGGGCCAGTGACATCAAGTCCTGTTCCTCAACTCCATGTACTGGACTCCGGGCAGGCTTAGACCTGGAGCAAGTCACGTCCTCGCCCAGACTTAGTTTTCTCATCCGTCAAATGGAAGGTTGGACAGGGTGGCTCCTCTGTGCCCTTGCAACTTGGGCACACAAGAGAAGAGCAAACCCTGTCCCACTCTGGGGTTCTCTCCTGCATCTGTCAAGGCCTCTCTGGGCGCCTCAGGAGTGGCTTCTCCTCTCCCGGCCTCAGTTTCTCCACTTAAGCAGAGGGCTCGGGAGGCCTTACCCATGCAGGGACAGTAGAGCAGGTAACCGGCCGGGTCCCAGGAGCCCGTGGGCTGCCCCGGGAGCGGCAGAAGCAGCAGCAAGAGAGACGCACGCAGCGGCACGGGCGACAGTGCCCACGCGGCGGCGCCCATGTCGGCCAGGAGCCCGAGAGCGCCGCGGCGAAGAGGCGGGGATCGAAGAGGGGGTGTGAACGCTCGCCCCGCTCCCGGCAGGCCCCGCGCGCCGCCCGCGCGCCGCCCCGGCCGCTCTAGCCCGCGGGCGGGCGGGACCATAGAGAGCCCGCGGCGCCGCCCCCTCCCCAGCCCGAGCGCCCGCTCGCGCGGCTCCCACAATGCACCGCACAATGGCCCGACCGCCGCCACTACCGGGGCCTGAGCGGGCCTGGCGGAGCCCGAGCGCGGCCCGGCCCGCAGCGCGGGGCCCCGAGCGCGGTGAGTGCCGGCGAGGGCCCTGGGGGACGGCGGGGAGTGGGGCGGGAGGACGTCTCGCTGCGCCCGCAAGCCCGGCACCCAGAGCGGCGGTGCCCCTCACCTTGGGCCCCTCAGCGCGGTCGCCCACACCCCCGACTGGGCCCCCCCTCTGCGCCAGCCGGGTCCCAGATAGGCCCCAGGGCGACGAAAACTCTCCCGGACCTCATACCTGTGTTTGGGGGATCCGAAGAAGTCCTCTCAGCCCCCTCCCTGCCTAGTCCTGGAGACGCAGCCTGAGGGTTCCCCACTCCCGACCCCTGGGCTCCCTGGAGACCCAGATAACGCGCGGCTGACCTTACTAGGGACCCGGGTCTGGGGGACGTAGATAAGCTGCACCTGCTCCCTCCCAGAGACACGCCTACCCCGACCCACATAACCCCCTCTTTCCTGCTCCAAATAGTCAGCTCTTTACCCTCTCTTTCATTTTTTTCCGGATTTATATAATCCCTTTTGAGGCTTCCCCCAAATCCCAGGGTCTGGAGAACCCAAATGAGGTCCTAGCTGTGGTTCCCTCCCCAGGGACCATACTCCCAAACTTTAGACAGTTTCCATCAGGAGACCCATTTTGAGACCCTCCTGAAATTCAAGAGAAAGCACTTCTCTCTTCAACCCCCGGAGCCTTCCTCTAGCGCTTAGAATCCTCCTCCCCCTTTCTTTTAGGGGTCTTTTAGAGAGCCAGGTAACTTCCTTATGATTCTTCACCATGCTTGCCCTTCCTGCCCATCCCCAAGACCCCCAACCCCTTAGACTTCTTCCTGAATTCCTGTCTCTTCCCACCGTCCACTCCCATCTCCCAGTCTTAAGGGGAATTTAACATTTCCCACCAGAGTTGGGCGGGATAGAAGCTGGCCAGCTCAGAGACAGGACCGTTTCCCACAAATCCAGTCCCATGCTGTGGCCCAATTTGGGGGGAAAACTGTGTGGGGGAGTTGGTACTTTCACCTGCAAGTGTAGTCAGTCTTCTTTCTTGTGTGTTTTTCCACCTGTCAGCCTGGAGCTGTGATAGAGTCTGGCCTTGGGTTTCTAACCCTCGGCTCCCAAGGAGAGGCCCCACTAGATTGGGGGGTGGGTGTCTAAGCAGGTTTCCTCCCTGTGAAAATGAGACTGGAGTGAGTTGCAGCCATTTGCTCAAGGCCTCCCCAGGAGTGGGAGGCAGTGGAATCTGAAGAAATAGGGAATCAAAGGGACTCTTTGCAAAGAGGCCCATCTACACTGACAGAACTAGCAGCCCAGAGTAAATCCAACCCCTGTTAATCCTGTTTGATGTTTCTTGGAATGATGCAAGTCACTGAGACTCCTCAGTCTCCCTGTAATTTAATTCTCCCACTACTCTGGAATGGGGTGTGTGTGCGCTGAGTATGAGTGAGGGGGGCAGCTATTCCCGTTTCCCCCTTCCTGCTCACTATTTTCCAGCCAACCAGAGAGTGCCTTTTGGATTTGTTTCTGGTGCCTAGGACCTGCGTATATTTTGTTGTTGTTTTTCCCTCTTTAATTCTATTTATAATTTCCCAGTTTCTATTTTGGGTTCTCTTAAGAGAAGATTCTGTCCACCCCAAGGAATGATTCCTGGGTGTGTTTCCTTGTAGGCAGGTGTTGAATTGAGTTCTTCAGCTCCCCAAGTAGCTCTTGAGCAGGAGAAATAAAAGCTATTTTAGGGTAGTCACTGAAGTGAAGCTGTTAATCCTCTGTGGGTTTCTTTAGTTAAGAACACTCAGAGAGTAACCCTTTCCTTGATGTGGGGGTGGGGAAGCTATCCCTCAGCAGTATTTGGGTGGGGGGAAAACTGGAGTGTCGCACAGAAGTGGGAACATACAACTCAATACAAAGATAGTAGCTCTCTTGTTGGGCACTTGTAGCAGGCCAAACCCAATGCCGAGCCCTTTCCATACCTGACTAAAATAATCCTTACAATAAGCCTGTGAGGTAAGTATTTTTTAGCTTTACAGATGAGGAAACAGGCCAATAATGGAGAAAGAACTCAGTTTCTATAGAGATGATGTAACTCCATAAAAACTAGTTTCATCAGAGGGCAGCAGGCATCATGGCACACAACAGAAGATAGACAGGACCTTCCAGAGGCCATATAGAGCAAGAATTCCTACTTGGGATATGGATCTTAATACAGAAGAGGGTAGCATAAAAGTGTAATAAAGTGGTTATCCAGGTGAAAGAGAATTCTGGCCCAGGAGATGTGCTAGAGGAAGGTAAAGTAAGGAGCTAGTTAGAGGGGATGTACTGAGGGCTAGTTGTGAGGAAAAAGAGGAAGGCTGCATTCTGGGGAGATGCTGGGAAGGGAAGGAAACTCACTTTGAGGCGTAAGAAGTAACACCAAAGGGGGAAAAAAGAAGTACTACTCAGGCGCTGTGGGGAAAAGAGGCAGATGCAACTTGGACCTCAGAGGGCACTACATGTATTCACACATTTCATGTCACTTTCAAGAGTATTGTTTTACTTAATCCTCTAGGAATATCTTACAGGTACGTAAAATAAAACTCTAGTGTAGAAATTGAAGAGAGTGAGGTTCAGAGAAATAAAGTAACCTGCCTGTGGTTTCACAGCCAGTAAGTGGCTGCTCTTCTGATAGTAAGTCCAAGGTTCTTTCCATACTACCTCCCCCTTCAGATCAGACTCCAGAAAGAATCTTAGGCTGAAAACATACTGAGTTATACCAGTAGCTGGGAGGGATTGTGTTTGTTTTATGGGAACAGGTCTGTCAGCTTCTCTGTAGTTACGGTTATAGCATGAGACTAGAAGAACAGCTTTGAAAGAGAAGCAGAATTCTTACACAGTTTTGTCTAGGAAGGAGTCTGAAGGAACAGGTCTGATTATGTTCCTTCAGAACTCAGGAATCTTTCTGGATCAGAGGAGTTTGCAGACAAAGGAAAGAAAGAGAAGGACTAGATCCTCAAAAGTGTTCCTAGGTAACACTAGCAGCATTGGTTATCCAACAGCCTTCTGGTAACTGTAGGTAAGAACTTTGCTATGCTTTTTAAAAGGCCTAGGGGAGTAGGATCAGGGTGGTGGCTCTTTTGGTTTTAAACCATAGTCCCATTAAGTACAGATCAAGAAGAGCACATGGTTCCCGCCTTCTTCCCTTGGTTCTATCAGTACAACCTCATGGGTTCTTCTTAGCCACCACCAGCCTCTTTCCTAGAAGCCCATTACTCACTCTTTCAGTAGCAGCATAATAAACTGCTGTGTCTTGTTTGTGCATGTTCAAGAGAATAGATGAGTTGGACGTGTGGGAGGTGGGGGACCTACCATTCTCTTTCTGAGTTTGTGGAATTTCCAGGCTAGACTCCCATCTCACATCAGCCAAAGTGATTGTGACTTACTTTCCTCTGGCAGCCATTCCCAACTTTCCAGAAGCCAGGGTGTGAATCAAATATGAAGTGGGAGAGAATTTGACTTTGAAGATAGGGAAAATTCCCTCTAAACTAGATATGCACACTGGAGTTCACTGTCTGCCTGCTACAGTGTGTGTAGTAATCACTGGTATTATAAACAGGTAATTCCACCCTTGCAAAGGAGGAGGGGACTTAAACAATGAAAGCCGGACGTCAGAGGCCTATAAGGCTTATAGTGAAGCAGGCAAATATGTCACGATGATTTGAAGCTCAAGTAGGTCTGATTTTTACTGTTGCTTTCTCTCCCTGGCATGTGATTCACGCAAAATGCAGCCACCTTTGTGCAGAGCTTTCTAGGCAAATCTCTACTCGTGATGGGGAAATGTTTATCAAACTACGTTGCAATGTTTCTTCAAAAAAGAGGAATGGTTCCTGAACAGGATGTAGCTCCTGTTAATGTCGAGCAAAGCTTTGGGGCATGAACCCGCTGATGCTATCATCTCGTTCATGGCCAGTCTGTTGGATGAATGGTCACTGTAAGCAGCAGGTGCTAATGAGCTGAGCAAGCATTCTGTGGCCCACAGCTAGTTTGTGCAGTTAGCGCTTCCCCCAGATTCTTGTCGACAATCCACAGATACGTTCTTTGCTCTCTTCACATGGAAAAGCCTCATGTCCAGATTTTGGCATAATCTCTTCAAGGGGAATCCCCCTATTGTACCAAGATACATTGCAGTTGGTAATGTGTAGTTAGTGAGTATGAATGTGGATCTGTTGTCCCTCTTTTGAGAAATAGTATAGTTACTCCCATCTTTTCCCTGAGTTGGTATTAGGAAAGGAATCATGTCACAGTTAACTCCAGCCTTTCTCCCTACCTACCAACAAGAGAAAGGGTCAGACTTCAAAAATTTGGCTTCCCATTTTGGCAGGGCTTGAACCCAGTTTAAACTAGAATTTCCGGGTTTAAATTAAGCCCCTGAGAATCAACTTGCATTTAGTGATTAATTTACTCGTCTAAAAGAAAGTTGAAATTCTTTTTCTAGACATTAGATATATAGAGATAAAAGAGATATGATAAGAGCCCTCAGACAATCAGTTGGAGAAGACTAAATGCTAATGCTAATATGTTACCTTCTCCTAATGGAGAGGTGCATATATTCCTTTACAGTCTATAGGAGGGGCCACTCATCACCTTGAGTTGTTAGACAGGCTTTGCTGAAGAGGCACATCAGGCCTGGAGACCACAAGACCCAAAGAGGAGGTAGAGGTCAGGATGGCACCAGTACTGGTTTAGGGAAAATGCTGAATCTGCTATTTCCTCCTTAGACGGAACCTCCTGACATTGATGTGCTGCTAAAAAGCACATCTAGCCCAGTGCTGTCTCTCAGGGTGTAAATTTCCTAAGAAAAGGATTCTCCTCTTCCTTCTCCCTTGTCTTTTGGACATTTTATTGCTCCTTAGCACCTCTGTGAGGAGCAGAATTGTAGAAAGTAGTGGATGGGGGTGGGGATAGGATGAAAAGGAGGAGGAGAAACTGCTATCTCTAGGTTTAGTGGAAAGAATGTAAAAATGAAGTCAGAAGAGAAAGTTTAGCATTTCAGAGCCTTTAGTTTTTCAGATTATCCTGTTTCTTCTTAACCTAGACTGTACTAGCAATAATAGTTACCACTAAGTACTTTCTGGGTACCCACCCTTGTACTGAATGCTTTATATTCATGATCTCATTAAATCCTCAAAATGTCCTTATGATTTTGGAGATTATTATATCCACCTTATAAGAGAGTAAATAGCTCAGAGAAGTAAGTAATTGTCTGAACATCACACAGATTCTAAGTGGAAGACTGGGATCGGAGCGGGATCTGTCTGCTTTCAGAGCCCATGCACGCATGGTATTGGGCTCCCTAACACCAGGTGTTCTGATATTTCAGGTGAAGAGATTGTTTTCTGAAGGCTGCGTTGGAGGCTGTGACAGAGCGGAGAGCCCATGTGGAGCTGATGGGGAGGCTTTCTGAATAACATGGCCCTTTGCCATTAGCTTTGCCATGACCACATTTTTCACTAGCGTCCCTCCCTGGATTCAAGATGCAAAGCAGGAGGAGGAAGTGGGCTGGAAACTAGTTCCCAGGCCTCGGGCCCGGGAGGCAGAGAGTCAAGTAAAGTGCCAATGTGAAATCTCGGGGACACCCTTCTCAAATGGGGAGAAGCTGAGACCTCACAGCCTCCCCCATCTGGATCAGAGACCATATAGCTGCCCTCAGCTACACTGTGGCAAGGCTTTTGCCTCCAAGTACAAGCTGTATAGGTAGGTAACACTCTTATACCTCTTCCTGCCCCGAGGTTCCCAGACAAAGCCAGAGAGACTCCACTGAGTGTATTGCTTTTATTTGTGGCAAAAAAAAGTGAAGGTTAACTTGTCCTAGCCTTCTCTGAACGCTAACCATTTGAAGTCACTCACTAAAAAAATAAACATAGATTCAGACACTAGAATCTGATGAGTGCAGAATCAAGCTTCTGTGAACAAACTATACTGAACATTTTTTTTTTTAATATCTCACTTCTGTCAGGTAAATGATCAGAATCTTAGCCAAAAGTTAGACATCAGTCTTAGAACTTTAGAAGGAAGAGGAGATCCTCTGGTTCAGTCTGTACTTTTTAAAGTGAAGGCACAGAGCAGGGCCTTAACCAAGTTCACATGGCTTTGTAGGTCCTGCAGTGTTGCTGCTATTGAATCAGCCTGCTGCTCAGATGATTACTTCTGTCTTTGTAGAGTCCCTGGTGCCCCCTGGGTCAGCTGCTTTTCTGAAACTTGTAAGCCCAAGAATCCCTACTCAAAAGTGAAATAGAATGTGAAAAGCCTTGTTAAGGCAGATACGGCGGAGAAGATCTGGTGGGGAAGGGGCCTGGTGAGAGCTATTTTTATTTTATCCCTACCTTTCCATCAGAGGAACCAAGAACTTGCCCATTACAAATGAAATAGACCAGTCTGATGTACAGTCACCTAACCATTCGTTCATCTATGCAACTATTATTTTTTGACTAGTCATAGTGCTCATTGCTAGGGACAGAATACTAAGCCAGAAGGATGGGGGTGCTGACCCTTCTTGTATTTACCTTCTTAATAATGGGGGCAGGTAGCAAACAAGTAAATGCATCAACAAGATGACCATAGAAAGCCTCAGTTCCTCATCTGGAAAACAGTTTCTAGGTAGGAACTAAAATAGGCACCAGGGTAGTGTGGAGGCCAGGATTGCCCTCAGGACAGTTCTGTGGTCCTAGGAAAGTTTTGATTCTCTGTGCTTCTATATCTTAGGTGGACACTAGTCAGAGTTAACCTCTTAGACTTTCTTAGTTCCAGTAGGAGACTTCAGGAAAGGTCCTGGTCCAGGAGGTAGGAGCCCTGACATAATTTACGAATGATATTTGGTGAGTTACTAAACCTTTTGGGTCTTAATTCCCTCACTTGCAAAATGAAGAAAATAGACTGAAACTTCTCAGCACCTCCCTCCTTTATGTTGTCATGTCAGTCATGTTACAGGATCATGAACGTGAACATTCACATAGAGCATGAGGATAATCCTCCAGGTGGAAAAGGTCATAAGAGACAGCTATGATCTGCCTGAGTGAGCCAGAACTCAAGAAGGTTTAAATCTGCTTAAATACAGCCTCTGCCACTTACTGACTGGTAAATGGGCTACCTGGTGTTTCAGCCTTGTTTCAGAACAAGGTTAATGATACAGCTCACCCAGAGCTTCATGGTCTTGCCGAGTTGATTCTGAATGGATACTGAGCTATGAATTTCAGCTCCTGAACTCTGAGCTGCTTTCCAACCAGATAGGAACAGGTAAACTAAGGGACCCTAAGGTACTATACACTAAAACATTTCTTAAAGTATTACTGGTTTACACGGTAAGCAATTCAAATGCTACAAATGGGCATGCAGTGAAAAATGAAAGCCACTGTTCTTCTCCTCAAAGGCAGCGGTGGGACTAGTTTCTTGTATATCCTTCCTGAAACATTCAAACATGTATTCCCTTCCTTTTGTATTTTAAAAATGGATCGCATTACATGTACTGTATTGAACTTCCTCTTTTCACTTAGCTCTGTATATCTTGGGAACTTGTTCCAGACCAGGAACTTTATATACATTTCATTTTTCCCTTTATTGTGTCATTAAATTTTTTTACGTATATTTTTGAAGAGAAAATATATTCACATAATTCAAATTCAGAAGTTACCAAAAGATATGCAATGAAACTTCTCCATTACATCCATCTGTAAATTGTCTACTTCTTTCCCCCATAGACTACCAGTGATGTCAGTTTCTTATGCATCATTCCAGAAATTTTTTTTCTTTTAGTGGGACTGGGGTTTGAATTCAGGGTTTTGGGCTTGCAAAGCAGATGCTAACAAATCAGGCACTCTACCACTTGAGCCATACCTCCCAGAAATATTTTAAACAGATACAAACAAATATACATATGACTTCCCCCCTTTTCACATACAGAATATTCTGCCTCTTTGCTTTTTTCCACTTTTGTATCTAAGGAGTTTATTCCCAAAGGTACATTTATGCCCCCTCATTTTCAGGGCTGGTGGCATGGCTCAAGTGGTACCCAGTACCACTACAAAAAAGACTCTACTAAAGTTGCCTCATTTTAAAAATAACTTAGTCATTTTATAAACTTAGCATAAATTATGAACCAGTTCCCTATTGTTAGATTTGATGTTCAGATTGCTTTTTATTTTTTGCTACTACAACTAGTGCTTCCAAGAATGGCAGTACATACATGATTTTGCAAGGATATGAATAGAATATAGTTGGCATGGTATTCCATTGCATCACTTTATCACAATTTTTCTATCTAGTTTCCTGTTAATAGACACCTTGTGGTCTCCCATCTTCCTGCTATGACCTGTCTTCCATCCCTATCTTCAGGCACATGGCCACTCACTCAGCCCAGAAACCCCACCAGTGCATGTACTGTGATAAGATGTTTCACCGCAAGGACCATCTACGGAACCACTTGCAGACCCATGACCCCAACAAAGAAGCGCTCCACTGCTCTGAGTGCGGTAAGAATTACAATACAAAGCTGGGTTACCGTCGCCACCTGGCCATGCATGCTGCCAGCAGCGGTGACCTCAGCTGCAAGGTATGTTTGCAGACCTTTGAGAATACCCAGGCCCTGCTGGAGCACCTGAAGGCCCACTCACGCCGCGTAACAGGTGGTGCCAAGGAGAAGAAGCACCCCTGTGACCACTGTGACCGGAGGTTTTATACTCGTAAGGATGTGCGGCGGCACCTAGTGGTGCACACAGGCCGTAAGGACTTCCTTTGCCAGTACTGTGCACAGAGGTTCGGCCGCAAGGACCACCTGACACGTCATGTTAAGAAGAGCCACTCACAGGAGCTGCTCAAGATCAAGACAGAGCCAGTGGACATGTTAGGCTTACTCAGCTGCAGCTCCACAGTCAGCGTGAAGGAAGAGCTGAGCCCTGTGCTGTGCATGGCCTCTCGGGACGTGATGGGGGCCAAGGCCTTCCCTAGCATGTTGCCCATGGGCATGTATGGTGCCCACATCCCTACCATGCCCAGCACGGGTGTGCCACACTCCCTGGTGCACAACACGCTGCCCATGGGTATGAGCTACCCTCTGGAATCATCACCTATCTCTTCCCCAGCTCAGCTCCCTCCAAAATACCAGCTTGGATCTACCTCATACTTGCCCGACAAATTGCCCAAAGTGGAGGTGGATAGTTTTCTGGCGGAGCTTCCTGGAAGCCTGTCTCTCTCATCCGCCGAACCCCAGCCCGCCTCACCTCAGCCGGCGGCAGCTGCGGCCCTCCTAGATGAAGCACTGCTCGCCAAGAGCCCCGCCAACCTTTCTGAGGCCCTCTGCGCTGCTAATGTGGACTTCTCCCACTTACTGGGCTTTCTTCCACTCAATCTGCCCCCGTGTAACCCACCTGGGGCCACAGGAGGCCTGGTTATGGGCTACTCCCAGGCTGAGGCACAGCCCCTGCTCACCACTTTGCAAGCTCAACCTCAAGATTCTCCAGGAGCTGGGGGACCCCTGAACTTTGGGCCTCTGCACTCCTTGCCTCCTGTCTTCACCTCTGGCCTGAGTACCACCACCCTGCCTCGTTTCCACCAAGCATTCCAGTAGCTCCCACGGAGGCTCTCACTCAGTTTTGGCTCTGTCAGGGAGCCTCAATAACCACCCCGTCCGAGTCCCCCACAAAGGCAGCTGAGCTTTCAGAGCTGGGTTCAAAAAAAATTCCAGTGTCTGTATGGAGCACTTGGTTTGGGAGTTCAGGCTCTAGGATCAATTCCAGAAGGAGCCTTGAGCCCCTGCCCTATGAAAAGATCTCCTACTATAGGACTTTCAGGTATTTTTACTTTTATTTTTTTGATCTGAATTGGGAGCCACATTTAGCCCTCTTCTCCAAAGCTTCATCCTTCCTTCTCTTTGTAGAAGGGAAGGCCTCTTGGAGACACAGAGGGTTTCACCTTGGATGACCTCAAGAGAAATAGCCCAAGAAACCCGCCTCTGGTCCTAACCTGCAGACCCCACCACAGTTAGTTGTTCAGGCCCTGCTGTGGAAGGTCACTTGACTCTTTTGCCTACTTCCAACCATCAGGCAGGAGAGAGGGCCTCTGTTTTTCCCATCTACCCCCATCCTCACTGTACCAGCAGCTCCATTTTCAGTCAGTGTTGTCCAGCAGCGGTACCGTTTACACATTCGCCTCAGACACACCATTTCACCTCCCTTGCTACACTGTTAGCCTTAGAGTGATTGCAGTGAACACTGTTTACACACCGTGAATCCATTCCCACCAGTCCATTTCAGTTGGCACCAGCCTGAACCACTTGGTACCTGGTGTTAACTGGAGCCCTGTTTACAAGGCGGAGTCGGGTCTTGCTGACTTCTCTTCACTTGAGGTCACATTTTTCCCCTGTGGGGAAATAAACTGACTTTGGACTGCTTCAGCCTCTGCCATCTTCCATGACTTCGTCTGTCCCTGCCTTTCATGGCAGTGTCCACAGGAGACAGGCAAGAAGATCCGAGCAGCTTTCTCACAGGTCTGCAATTCTGTTTCTCTCCAAGTACATCATGACTCCCTCATCCTTCTTCTGAACTGGAGAGGGGAAGAAATGAAAGGCACGCCCACATCTATCACCTCCCCATTTCCTAACCCCACCCTGAACATCATGAGCTATTGTTATTTGTCTTAGAAGGAGGGACTCCGGGTTCTTGGCGGGTGAGGATTGCAAAGAAGAGGGAATGCGCCCCTCATTTGTCTCCCTCTCACTTGTCCCTTTTTCAGGAAGTTGTAGAATTGTTGAAAGAAGAGTTTTCAGAAAGTCAGGACTGGGCAGATAGTTGAATCCAATCTATGTAATCATTGTTGCCTCCCATACCAAAATTTTTCTTATTCACAGTGTCCCTTCTGTCTCCTCCACTTTGCAGTCCCTATGGACTCAGGACTACTGTGCATAGCCTTCTCTGCTCTCCATCAAGGAAAACTTCCACCTTCTTCTCATGATCCACCTCAATTGCCCCTAGCATCTAGTAAGGTTCTTACAGGAATTGATTAGTTTTTCTAACTTGTGAGGCTCCCTACCACAGACAGCACAGCCCTTGTCCAGAATCCAGCCGAACCCCAAATCCTGCTTCATCTCAGTTCTGCATGGGCTTTTCCCACGCATAGAAGGGAGGCAGCTCAGGGACCACCATTGTGGAACCTCTTGAGACACCTCCTCTCTGATTCAGAAACACACTTCTACCTCTTTACTGTTAACTCCTACAGTTGCAGCCAGAAGTCTGGGCACTATGTCAGTGGTGCCTTATGCTGGCTTCTCCACTAGGGTTTCAGGAAAAACTACCTAGGAACTGCCTCAACCTCCCACCTGTCCTCTCCTGACCCCCTCCTTCCATCTAGATTCACTGGTTTATTATCAGGAACTGTGCAGGTCCAAGACCTGGCCTTCCGCTTCAGCTCAGGCCAGTACTCCCTGTTTGAGGTGAAAGCCTTTAAACTTAGCTCCCTGGCCCTTTATTGGAAGCAATATGGAATGAATAAGCATGTTTTGATTTAGGCAGGGTAACTTGGGATACCTTTTAAAAAACAAAACCAGATATAAAAATGTCTGTCAAGGTTGTCATCCAACTAGGTGATTTGCTTCTAAAAATCAGTTACTGTCAGTGAGTCCCAGGGACTAATTAACATTTAGTTTTTAAAAGCATCTACCTTGGTACGCAGCCACCTCCTGCATGCTGTGCATGTTGTCGGGACTCATATTACAGGAAATGGTATGTGAGAATCCAAGTGGGACTTTGTTGCCATTCTTGTGTCTGGTCTTCACGAGACCCAGCACCCCTTCTTCTCTTGCCTGCAACCTTCCTGTGCCCTCAGTTTGTAGAGGCAAATAGGCCTCTGGCCACAAGAGTATAATGTCTTGGGCTGTTAGAGGAGTCCCATCTTCTCTGCTTGCCCTTTCCTGACCCTTATTGAGCTCTTCCCTCCCTTAGTGAGGCTGAGAAACTCAGAGGACAGGCAGAGCAACTATTTAACATCTTGTAACGGGGCCTTTCCCCCATCTCCTGTCTTTTCTCCTGCCTTTGCTCATTCCCATCTCCCATCCTTCCTGTCCTTTCAGAGTCCTCAACATGAGGAATTTTCCTGTCACTGTGAACTTTGCTGGTGCAAAGGAACATTACCTGCCTTCACTTTTTTTGGGCCATAGCCACCCTGCTGTTTCTCCCCCCCCCCCAAAAAAAAGCCTTTTTTTTTTTTGCCTGGCTGTTGAAAGGATAAGAATCGCTTTATCCTGCACTCAGTACCCAGACTTACTTCAGTACCCCTTCTGAATCCATGAGAACCAGAGGGGCATTTGCCCAGGACAGGAGCCATGTCATGTGGCACAGGCCAGTCAGGGACAAGAAAAAAGTGATGTGCCCTTTCCTGACCACCTTTTCCAGCCTGCCAGCATTGAACTGACCTGTACTGCAAAGTAGCTGGTCAGGGCTGAGGACAGTCCTGGGGCCAGGGGCTGGCATGCCCAAGCATCAGCTCAAAGGATCCCTCCTCCAGTATCTTAAAGAGATGGGATGCCGGAAAAGGTGCACCAAGTTCCCCCTAACTTTTTACACATGGCATTTTGTTAATGGAAATCCGGGAAGCAGGTGTGATTACGTTTTTGCTCATAGATATTGTCCTAAGTTGAAGTTCCCCAATGCCCTAAACATTTTCCTAGTAGTCCTTTAAATTTCCCCTCCCTTTTTAGTAGCTGTTTTCTCCACCCTCTCTCTACCTTCCTTCTTATCTAGGAGCTGTTTTTAAGCACGATTTTTTTTTAACAGGTTGTATTGTACAGGATCAATATTTTGCTTTTTAACAAGGATATTTATGTAATAAGAAACTTTGCCTTAGGCAGGTGTTGGCCAGAAAAGTCCAGATTCCTCTGGGACCCCACCCTGGCCTCTCCTGGAGCTCTGAACCTGCTGTGGAAGGAATTGGCCATTACCTTCACCACTGGGAAGTAGGATCTGTGGCAAGCAAAGGGATGTTCACTGTTATAACCTAGTGCCTCATGGAGGGGTGTTGAAGCATTCCAGCCGAGTTGCTTCAGGTGTCGGTTGGCTTCCTTTGCCAGTTCACCCATATTCTGCATGTATGGCACTAGAAACCCTGAACACCTCTTCTCACGCCCTTTCCACCCTCCCAGTGGTCAAGGCTTGGGGGCCACTCTTTCGTAACGCCAGATTATTTAAAAAAGAGAAAAATACAAGACAAAAACCTTCTAGCACTTTGTAAACACAGTGAATAACCTCTTGGAGTATTTTTGGCTTTATATGAAACAAGGTTTTTAATTGTAAAATGTAAGTGCCATTAGAAAATGCACAGGGCGTATCTTTGTTAAAGTAGATTTTTCAATGTTTTACAGAATTACATTTTCAAAAAAAAGTTTTTATAATGAAGTTGTTTATTAAAAACTTCTGAATGATGTGTTTGGTGCTTGTGAACCTGTCTGATTGGGAAATTGTTGGAGAAAGCCTGTAATTGGAAAGAAGTTGAATCCCCAGACATCCTTAATATCCAATGTGATGATGGTGAGTGTAGAGCAGACAGTAACAACCACTCACATTAACAGAACCTTTATACTTTGAAAGGGTTTTAGTTTATTAGCATATATTGTATTAGAATTGTGGGTTTCATTATGACATGTTCATACATGTAAAATCAAAGTTATTGTAATGGGATGTCTGAGGTAAATAGTATTCTATTGGTTAAATCTTGGGTGCAAGGGTCAGGAAATCCAGATCAAATTGACTTTCAAGAGTAAAATTTCATGTAATGGAAATGTCAGATGTAATTTCACTCATCAGGTTAGGTTTGCTCCAGTGACTCAAACATGGTTGACGTCAGCATTTCCTGATTTTCTGTGTTCTGTTTTGGGTAGCCATGTCTTCATCCTCTGGCCCTTATAAAGTAGGTTCCTTCTTTGTGTAGGAGTGAATGGTGTCATGATTCTAGACTTGTCATTTACACATAGTGCTGACCAGGAGGAGAACCCTTTTCAGACCTAGCTGGTGTCAGAGCTAGGACCTGGCCTTACCCATACCTGTGCCCAACCACTGGGTTCAAACAGACCATTGAAAGGCTGACAGGACTTCACCCAACATTAATGCTTAGCCAGTCTAACAGGCAGTTATGGCCATCTGGGTCCCACCCCTGTGCTGAGATTCTTCCATCAGGGACTCATGGTCTGGAATTGGTGTCTATAGCTACGTAGTGTAAGTCACTTGGAGTCCACCTCAGCTAGCCCATAGGGCCTTGACAAGTATTAACGCACAGGGTTCGGTGTTCAAAGGCAGGGGGCTGATACTTTATTTCTTTGGCCTTCTACTTTGTTGATAAATGTGCACTGTCTGCCTCAATGAGTCAGAACCCCAACGGAGTCCACCCTGCCCTCTAAGTGGTTTATACCCCAGGACAGGTCTTGGGGGCTCAGATGAGGGAGCTGTGGTGTCCAGTGGCCAGGAAGAGGCTGAAGGCTGTCTGGAGGAGGTGGCAGAAATGGGAGCATGAAGTAGGTATACTGACCTCCACAGGCCACAAGTTTGGGAGCTGAGACCACAGGAATGCACATACATTGCAGGATCATGCAAGGTTTAGTCTACCCCAAACACAGACCTTGCACTTCTGACTAGAGTCCAATTTGGTGAAATAGCTGGCACTGAGCAAAGGGGAGCCCCTGGAAGGAGAACAGGTGAAGCAAGTTTCACTTGGCTTCAGCCAACCAGCCCAGATGTGGGAACCAGGCAGGTGCCCACTTGCTCCCTTCTTTGCAGAGGGTTTAAGAGCTTTCCTGCCCTCAGATCCTTCCACTCCAATTTTGTCTTCCTTTCTGCACATGAATGGACCACCTTTGTGTACCCAACAATTACCATTGTCTTGAGCTCCCAATTTGAATCTAGTCAGTCTGCAAGGACAACTCTTGGGCCTTCTGCCTGTGTCTGAATAACTTACCCTGTGCAAGGCTGCAAGTGTTCTACCGCTGCCCCAGGCAGGCAAGAGAGACAGTCATGCTTGGCGTGCTGCCTTTGATGGGTAAGCGCGACTGGGGATAAGGCTCTGAGCAGCCTATCCTGGCGCGCTTCTGCCCTTGCACCTCCACTCCTCCGCCGGACTAAGCTGAGGCCAGTTCTATTTGGCGCCCGCGGTCGCGTCCTCCCTATCAGGCAGCCTCTTACCCTTCCTCCAGAACTCTAGGCTCCTGTCTCCCCCGCCCCCAGCACCGGAGGGACCCTAGCCGGAAGCGGGGCGAGAGGGGCGGAGCGCGCCCCGGAGAAAGAGGCCGCGTCTCGCCGCCCCTGTTGCAGAGCCCGCAGTCTGGCCCGCTGGCACCGGGCCCCTCCAGCCAGAGGCTCCCGCAGGAATCGCCAGACTTTCTTTAGCATCCTACGTGATGATGGCGGACGACGGGGCAAAGGTCCTGTAAACGGCCGCGCTGCGGCCGTCCAGCCCCACGCAGAAGGGGGGCGCTCGCTGGGCCTGCGCGGGAGGAGCGGGGGGACGCGGTATCCTGAACCTGGATGGCGGCCCGGGCGGGGCCGAAGGTCCAGAACCCTGTCGCGCAGGGGAGTAGGGGGATCGGGCGGGAGCCAGCGGGAAGGCCGAGGAAGTGACGACTGGGGAGGACGCCATTTTCATGGTAGAGGCGTCGGAGGCTGTGGAGCAGCAGCAGGTGGAGTGGGGGGGAGGCCCAGGAGGGCTTGGGGCCCCTGGACCTTGGTGACCTAATTGTGGAGCCACTGGAGGTCATCCAGTGGGAGCTGGAGGCCGTGAGCGCCTAGGCCAACCGGGCCTACCTCCAGCTCGAGCGCAGGTTGGGGAGGATGCGCAGGTTGCACCTAGCCCGCAGGAGCTTCCTTATCCAGAACATTCCGGGCTTTTGGGTGGGTCACTGCCTTCTTGAACCACCCACAGCTGTCAGCCATGGTCAGTCCCCGAGATGAAGACATACTGTGCTACCCGATGAGTTTGGAGGTGAGGGACCTCAAACACGCCAGCACAGGCTGCAGATTTAAGTTAAGGGTTGGAGCAGCCCTTATTTAGGAGGTGAACGCGAAGGAGTATGAGTACGGCGCTTCAGGCCGGGTGGTGTCAATTGCAACTCCCGTCCGCCGGCACCGGGGCCAGGAAGCCCCCGCCCTGGTACACAGAAATCGGGACCCTGTACGAAGCTGCTTCTGCTGGTTTTCACAGCACAGCCTCCTAGAGGCTGACAGGGTTGCTCGGATTATTAAAGATGACCTGTGGCCCAACCCCCTGCAGTACTACTTGCTGACGGATGGGCCCTGCAGAGCTAGGGGAGGCCTAGCAAGGTGGCACACAGAGGCCCCTCCTAGGCCGTATAGGTTCCAATCTGGCTAAATCCTTTTTATGCACTTAGGCCAGGGGTGAGTATTGTGCTGTTTGCCTTCTCATCTGTGCACCTTGGCTCCTCTGGTTGTTCTGTGGACTCAGCACCAAAACTGTGGCCAATCTCTACTGTTTCCATGTGACTGTCCTGCTGTTCTGTGGCATCATTACCTGATTCACACACCCCTGGTGGGACATGTGGCACCGTGCACCCAGTGCTCTGTACTTGAACTGCCGTCCTTTTCATGGCCTGGACCTACCTGACTGTGAGCTTCCCACTCATTTTTGACACTGTCACCTACAAGGCGTCATGAAGAGAAGCAGGGCCTCTCTGAGGCCTAGTGTTTTGAAGCTGGCTCTGGCCTAAGTTGAAGTGAGTGCATTTGTAGGAGTGCAACCAGACTTGGACATCCCATGCTTCAGGCCACAGGCCAGGCTCCCACCAAATGCACTGCTAGGCATCTGGCAGCATGGCAGTCAGGTGACTGGGCATGGCTGAGGCCTGCAGTATGAAGCAGTGTATAAAGCAGTGATGCCTCCTGATCCCACTGCTTTTCCTGCCCTGAGTTGGTACTTCCTCATGGCCTGCTGTTGGCTTGTGAGAGCCCAAGCTGTGCACCATCCATACCTGGCCATTGCTTTTCTGATGAGCTTTGCCCAAGCCACCATCAGCCCTGTTGCCTGCTAGCAGGACTACAAGGTCTCAAACTTCCTGTGGACCCAGGTGGACCACCTGCCAATGCAGCGAGAGGTCGTCATCCCCCAGAAATGGTGCTGGTATATCTGGGCATGTGCTTGACACAGGGGCAAGAGTGGAATCTTTTCCAGAGGCCCCATAACTGGACCCCACACGGAAGCCACACCCTCTGCCAGCTCCCCCTATGCCCACCTGTTTTTGGGCTGCCAGGTTGTGGATGCTGGGGAGGGGGCTTCTGGCATGGGACCTGTCTATACTAGCACAGATCTCACACCGGCTTTAAGGGGATAACTCAGAAATGAAAAGTAACTGAAGCAAACTTAGTTGCAAACAACTAAGGAGACAGACTTTCTCAAATTCACCTCTGTCTCCAGAGGGGGAGAGCTTGTCCTATAGACTGCCAGCTCCTGCTCTGCCCCTTCTGCTCTCTTGCCCCACCCCCTTAGCAAGCCCTAGAATCTTCAAAGGGCACAGTGCAGGGCTACTAAACAGGGACCAGGAAGTCCCCAAGGGCAGGGAGAGTTAATCTTTCATTTTACACTGTGTTCTTCAGAGGAACTTGGGCCCCACTTTTCTTCTGCAGGTCGTGTCCCCTTTGGTCCTCCCCTCCTGCAGGAACAAGAGCTGAGCTGCCCATCCCATCCAAGTCCCCTCTACCTGCATGGCAGTCTATCTCCATTTCACAGAGGACCTTGTCTTCTGGGACCTGGGAACAAAAAATAGTGGAGAGGGGAGAGCAACAAGCCAGAGCAGCTGCAAAGGCAGAAGTGGCTGAGAGCTGATGGGGAAGGAGGAGAGCCTCCTGATTTTTTTCAGACTTTTTTGATTTACCAGTATTTCGTAAATAAGAAGACTAACAGAACACTGCAGATTCAGAAGTAGTCTCTCCTGGTCCAGGTGTGACCTTGTGTGGGTAGAAAGCTAATGCTGTATGCTTTTTATTATAAGACTCTGCATCCTCTTCTATTTGAGACCACTGGAAAATATGGATGTACAGGCCCACTTACTGCTTTTGTTGAAAACATTTATAAGCCTGCCAGTGTAAATGTCCTACATCACTTGGAAAATTATATGACTGCTCACAATTGCTGTCAATTGTGGCCTGATGCTATAACCCTGTCTTATAAGTAGAGTTTGAATAAGGTATTTTTGCAGGACCTATGACTTGAAAGTTGTTACCAGTTGTGAGGATAACCTCCAAACTGATGGTTTTGATGGTTCTGTGTCCTGATAGCCATGTTGTAATTTACATCACTGCAACTAACATCACTGCTTCTAAACAGAAATATTCCTGGGGTAGCTTTGTCCAATCAGAAGAGAATTCATGGCACTTTGTCTTCAGTGCATGGTGGAAAAATAAAATTCCTTTGGTCTGGAGAAAAAATAACTTAAGTCATGATACTCCCCTCCCAAAACCTTCTACTGACAGCAAACAAGTGAACTTCCCAATTCCTTACCACAGTTGACCAAGGCCTGCCTTCCCTAGTTCTTGCTGGCAACTCACCTGGCTCCCTTTGGCTTTTTGTTCCCCCAACACTGGCCTCTTTACTGCTCCTGAAATAAATCAAGCGTATTTCAGCCTCAAGGTTCAAGGTTTTTATGCTTGCTTTTCCCTCTTTCTGGAATTATTTTCCTGCAGAGGAGAAATCTCCCAACCTCCTTAATTTATTCAGGCCTCAAAGCACCATTTCTTCAGAGGCTTCCCTACCCGTTCGTTTGAGATTTTCTCCTTACCTCTCTCTTCTGGGTTTTTTTTTTTGTTGTTTTTGTTTTTGTTTTGTTTTTGTGGTATTAGGGTTTGAACTCAGGGCCTACACCTTGAGCCATTCCACCAGCCCTTTTTTGTGATGGGTTTTTTTCCACAT